GGGGCTGGGGATTTACCTCAGCGGCATAAGCGCTTGCCTTGCAAGCAGACAGTCATGAGTTCGATCCCTGGTACTGATTTTAGAAAAAGAATGGAAAAAAGAGAAGCATTTAAAAGAAATCCCTTTACTATTCTTTTCCTGTGAATAGTGTGGGGACACTACGGCAGTTAGAGTAATGGCCCCTCGGAAATGTCTACTTCTAACTCCCAGAACCTCTGAATTTGCCCCTACATTGCAGAAAGAACTGCAGGTGTGGCTAAGTTAACACACTTGAGACTGGACAGCACCAAGGATCGGGTCCAGGTGTGTTCAATGTAATCGCATGGGGCTTCAATGTAATCGCAGGGAGACTGAAGAGATGCCGAGAGTCAGGAAAGGAGGGGCAGATGTGGAAGGGACCAGAAGGAACTCAGGTGCCTCCAAAAGCTGGAGATGATTCTGTGAAGCCTCCGGAAGGAGCCCAGCCCTGTGGACACTTTGATCTTAGCCTTCACACCTGCAGAACTGTGGGAGGGTAAGTCCTGTGCTACGCTAAGCTTCTGGTGATTGGTTACACAGCAGTGGGAGACTAATTCAGGCACGTACTGATACTCAGATTCTGTGAAGCAGTTTTTACACAGCCAGCACAAAAATACTCACCATTGTCCTGGGGTTCTGTATTTTAAACCCTTCTAACCTCTCTCAGGCTGTTACACGGGGCTAGCTCAAGCATGCTTTTCATTTGGGATGGGTTCCTGGGCCAAGACGCCATCTGCTGCCAGGAAAGTAAAGGGAACTGTTGGCCCTGGTAACTGAAAAGTGCAGCGGTTGGGAAACCAGGACGGGCTCGGGCTGTGCGTCCTCGTGACTGTTGGCTCTGTTCTCTCCCACTGTCAGCATCATCCTTGGACTAGTGACCCCTCTCAAGGTAACAGTTGGCACAGCCAGGGATGGGTGCTGCGGCTGAACTATTCTGACTCAAAGGCCAGAGGGAGTTTTCAGAGCTGGATAGCATCAGCAGTGTCCCTGCGTCTGGAGTCCGTCTCAGTCCCTTTGCTTAGTTACTGTTCTCAGTACGGGAACGGAGCATTTTGAGTCCCCCAGAAAACCTGGGTATCAGGCCGGAGAGAAAATATTAATAACCAAGAGTCAGTTACAGGGGCTGGAGATTTAGCTCAGTGGCATAAGTGCCTGCCTTTGTAAACAGGCAGTCGTGAGTTCAGTCCCCGGTACCTGATAAAAAGGAAAAAGACAAAAAAAAGAGTCAGTTACAGCCAACAAAAATACGTTATAATTCTACTAGAAAATACATGTGGGGTGCTTGAATACTAAAATATTTTTAGTTGCTGTATGTCATCATCAAACGTTAAGTTTTCTGCATCAAAGATTCCTGAGCAAGTCTTCTGAGAGTTCACAGTCTTGGGGAAGACGTCTTTCTCCTTTTGCAGTATGGGGCTGATTGTAACACTGCAGCAGTTTGGTGACCTATTTTACAACCCTGTTAGGATGTCTTCCTTTCTAGTACCAGACTTTGCATCATTCCCCATCATTAAGGCCCTATTTGCACTGACTTAGATTCTTGCTAAAAGAAATCTTTATAAACTGTCTGACTTCCTCACATAAACATCGTTTTCATGTAATTATTATTTCGGGTGTCTGTAATTGAGCTACTTGGTGGCACAAGCAAATAAAGATGTTTGGTATTCATGATGGTTAGAAATCTACAGGCAGTCACAATGCAAAATCTTCTGAACTGGTAACACTGTGAAATGGGCTTGCATCTTGTATATAAAACCATGATACTAAGCAATATGTTGATTGCACTAAGAGAAAGGAATTTTCAGAAAGCAGATATACCTGTGTGCATGTATAATAATTCATCATTAGATTTTAGCTGCTGGCAGATTGCTCCAGCAGTAGTTGGTAATTTTGTGATCGTCTCATTGCTAGCGATGGGGGCTTGGTAAAGTGCTGTGGAGATGAGATAAAGGACCCTTAGAACATGAGTCCCTCTGGCAAAGCTTTGCTCTTGCATGGCTGATGTGCAGCTATAGAAACTCTGCCCGGAAGAGTTTTGCTGTTGCTTCCTGTAGCAGAAAATGTCATTTACCTTTTCCCTGTCCTTTTAAAAAAAATTTACCTAGAATTTTAAAGCATCGTTTAACTCTTTACCATAACTGTAGTAACCTCTGCATTGAGTTACAAGGAGTGAGCAACCTAAAATGCGAGACTCCCTTCACACGCGCAGATGGGCCTCTGAAATAGACTGAGTCTGTGTATGCAGAATCTAAATCTTCTGGGGCTAAAGATCCAGGAAGCTTTCTTTCAGCTTTAGTTTAAACTTCAAGAAGACAAAATGTAAAGCTAGGTGTGGTGGTGCACATCTGTAATCCCAGCACTTGGGAGGCCGAGGCAGGAGAATCGCAGGTTTGAGCCCAGCCTGGACTACGTAGTGTGTTCAAGGCCAGCCTGAGCTACACAGCAGGACACTCCCACACACACCAAAACAATAGATGACAAAAACTAAATGGCCTGAGGTGTGCTATTCCTTCATTTTACTCTAGCATCGCTAAGGTGTAGAGCTGTTGGGCAGCAGGAAGACGGTGGCTTGTTCCATTCCGAAGCAAGTGGCTTGAGAGCTAGGGCTGTATCCCATAGCGCTCCCTGCCTGCCTGGGTCCGCCCGCCCCGGCAGCACGAAGCCTGAGGGATCTTTTGCCTTTTCTGTCTGCACTAAGTGTAACAGAATAGATGGGATAAGCAGTTTCATGGTGACTTCAGTCAGAGAAGACCAGAGCAACAAATACAAACAAATAAAAAGCTACTCTGTTAACTGGAGGGTAGCAGTCAGTCAGATCTATAAGTAGAAAACAGTTATTTGGGGAAAAAAAAAAAGCTTGGCGCTGGACCAAGTGTGTAATTCATACCAGTGGGCTTGCCCAGAGCATGCACCAGCCCCGCCCTGGGTTTGAGGCTCAGCATTGAGGGAAAAAAAAAATCTGAAAACTCAAGCCGCGCCTGCACAGCAAAATCACCCAGGAGCTCTGCAAAGCTGCCTTGTCTCCCAGCAACTGTGGTTCTGCTTCACCGCAGGTGGCCAGGGCATCTGTATCTGTGTAAGTTCCCAGGCAAGGCTAGTGAGCAGCTGAAATCAAGAGCCACTAACTTAACTGAAAGAATTTTGCTCTTTTTTTGAGACAGGGTATCGCTATGCAATTCAGGGTGGCCTTGAGCTCAGGTTGGTCTTGAACTCGACCTGTGTAGCCCAGGTTGGTCTTGAGCTCAAAATGATCCTCCTGCTTCAGCCTCCCAATGCTGGGGTTACAGGCGTGAGCTACCACGCCCGGTATTAACGGAAAGAATTTTGAACATCAGAAACAAGGGCACAAGTAGATAATTTTAGAAAAAGAAATGGAATGCATGATGTAATAGGTGCTTGGTATCACATACAAGCCATCGGCACTGTCAGAAAACAGGCTGTGAGGCACCTCTGAGGAAGTGAGTGTTAGTAATCTAGCCTGACCTCTCCAGCGTGCTGAAAGGGGCAACCAGACCTTGACCCAGAGCCCGGGGGCTAGGAAATGAGTGTTAATTGAATCTGAGACTGAATGCAGAGCCGTGCCTCATTCAAGACAGCGGATCCTTCGTGCATGCCAGAGAAATGAAAACAGTCCTCACGGGTGCAGCCTGCTAGAAAAGCACATTGTCTTGTCCACTGAAGCCCCTTTACCATTCCAGTGCAGTTCACATTTACTAGCTTGTCTCCTCTATACATTTCCAATTACCGCAGTGCTCACTGTCAGGAGAGTCCGCTGTGCTCCATTCACAGAAGAAATGCTCAAACTAATGACGGCAGCCTGGCAGTAATGAAAGATCAAGTTAGCATAACAAGTAGTGTTTTTGAAAATACAATAGATGTGCCAGTTCAAATATGTGGAGACACTGAGTTGTGTAGTGAGTGGTGTTAGGGTAGTAGGTGTCCACCCAGAAAATGCAGCTGCAGGAAACAACCTCCAGAGGGACCAAAGACCTAACACCAATGGAACGAGAATTTCAAAGATAGCTCTGGGGATTTTTAAAATGTAACCCTGAGGGAGGAAAGGCTTTCTTACATGAAACTCCAAGTCCAGAAGTTATAAAGGATACTGCAGAGAGGTGATGAGTTTTCACAGGCGAGAACTTGAACTCTGATTTCAGTTTGTTTCCAGTTTTGCTTTTTATGACTGTGTTATTTTAGAACTAGAAATATCCTATAAACATCCAAAAAGTGTTCATTCAAGGAAATACACATAAAATGATGAACTCTCGCCTTTTGTCCCTCAAATTGGGCACAGATTAAAAAGGTAGTCATTATGTGTAGCTAAAATGTACCAATAAACTTAATTTAAAAATCTCAGAGTAGGTGAGAATTGTGATGTCCCTTTCCTGTGCTGGTGAGCACGGCCTTTTAGAAGGGTGAATTTTGAAGGGCAGCTGTTCAGAGAGAGGTCCTTACCCAACACATCAGGGTCTGCAGGTCTGTACAAGAGGAACAGTTACACATGGGAAGCTAAGTGTGTGGTGGTGGTTTTACTGAGCCATTGGTTGAAGCAGCTAAAAACTAATAATATAAACACTTGTTAGTGCGAATTGACTTCTTAGCAGTTGGTGAGAAAAATACCCTTGTTTGAAAAATCTAAAGATACCTATAATTTTACTGTGAGAACTATTGGCAGTGGTTTTAGACAGACCAATCCCCCCCCCCCAAAAAAAGATAGCAAGTTTGCTTTATACTAAGCAATCATAAAGAAAACTGCTTTGTTCGGTTTCTGGTTTTTCGGGACAGAGTTTCACCACGTAGTCCAGGTTGGCCTTAAACTCACTATGCAACCCAAGCTGGCCTTGAACTTGGGGCCATCCTACTGCCTCAGCCTCCCAAGTGCTGGGACTACCAAACTGCCACACCCAGCTGAAGAACAGCTATTTTAACCAAGCAGGGTTTTTCACAGCTTCCTATTAAAAGCATGTGCAACTGTTTTGCAGGATGGAAACAGACTATAATCCCATGGAGCTGAGTAATATGTCAGGATTTGAAGAAAGCTCAGAGCTCAATGGTTTTGAAGGAACCGAGGTCAAAGACATGAGACTAGAAGCCGAAGCCGTGGTGAACGATGTTCTCTTCGCGGTCAAGAACATGTTTGTTTCGAAAAGCCTGCGCTGTGCAGATGATGTGGCCTACATCAACGTGGAGACCAAGGAGCGGAACAGATACTGCCTGGAGCTCACGGAAGCAGGGCTTCGGGTAACTCACTCTTCTCCTTGGGAGAAAAAAACCCTGCCACCTTGCCAAAAAGGACAGGGGACTGGAGAGTGTACGGGCCTTCAAGAAAAACTGGTTATCAGGGAGCTTCCAAAATTTAAGGAAAACTTCCTGGAAGTTTTTGTTAGTTTCAAGGTCTCACTCTGTAGCCCAGGCTGGCCGCAAACTTGCCATGACCCTCCTGCCTCAGCCTCCCAAGTGCTAGGGTTACATGCATGTACATCATGCCTATCTGGTTCTTGTTAATTTTAAAGTCTTCTGATCAGCATGAGGAAATTGAAGTTTGTCAGATCAGAAAAAAGTCCTATTTTCACCTTGTTATGTCTTTAACCATCACCCATGAAATTTCTCACCTATAGCTAAATCTGTCCCCCAAAATTCTGTTCTCTGCAATCAGTGAGGTTTGCAGTCACTGTGGTCCCAAATCTTTGTGCACCTCACACCACACAGACATCTCTTCTGTTAGCACAAGATATGTGCTTACCTCCTACCTTTTCCAGCTGTCAGCTTGGAATTAAATCCCAATGAAATCCTGAGATTCCAGCAGTGTCCATCAGTCCTTTGTTTCATGTATTTCCTATTACAGGTCAGCTTCTCTAGGCAGAGTGGCCTTCCATGTCCTTTAAACCCGAACCTTAGCTTATGGTAATGGAGAGTGACACCCGTGAGCAGCTTTAAAAAAGGAAAAAGCTTCTGCTGTGAAGAAGTCACTGAACACGGGTAGCTGTTGGGAAGTCATTTAACTTCCTAACCAGTCTTCCGTGGTGGTCAGAAATACTTGTACCGGTCATAAGATAAAGAGCAAGGCCTACGTGAGCACAAACATGACGTAATGTCACGTTAAGTACACTGATTTCCTGCCCTCCAGTGGGGCCGTGGGTGCCGCACACCCCTTGAAAAAGCAGTAGGGCTCCTCACAGCGGCCACCCAGGTAGCTGCTTAGCTCTAGGAGCCCTGTTCACCAGTTTTGGTGCCCTCCTTTCAAAAGTGCTTCCTTTGTACTAGAAGCTGTAGGGCATCGTAAATATAAACAGGTAAACTGGATTTTGAGGTAAGTGACGAAGGTAAATTTATTCTGAATTACACTGGTTAATTTTCAGTTGTCTGTTCTGGTAGAATTAGAAATGTTCGAGGTAAATGATCATGGGGACTCAGTCTCTCTGAGTCCCTACTTTATAACTTGGAACTGAGAAACAAAAAAGGACCTGGGGGATGGTCATAGAAATAAATTACCTGGTTTTGTTTTTTGGTACGGGGGATCGAACTCATGACCTTGTGCCTGCAAGGCAGGCGCTTATGCTGCTGAGCTAAATCCTCGGCCTGAAATAAATTATCTGAAAGACTCAGATCAGCCATCAAACCTGGTATGAATAGGCATTCAAACGTTTGTCTTTCAGTCTGATTGACTTAGCTTTTATTGAGCAGCCGTCCCAAGTCCGCAGTTGGAGGTGAAACCATGATTAAGATGTGATCGCTAGGGGCCTGGGATTTAGCTCAGCAGTGTCAGCGCCTGCCTGGCAAGTGCTAGGTTGTGAGTTCCATCCCTGGTACCAAAAACAAAACAAAACAAGATGTGATCCCTGTCTGCAGGAAGATCCCAGTGGCAGGGAATGGGGACCGGACAGAAGTGTCCTGCACAGCAGCGGGCTGCAGCAGTATGGAGCTGAGGAGGTAGACTCGCTCTCCTTAGGTGTCTACCTCCACTTGTCATTGGAAAACAAGTACTGTTTTGTCATTGGAAAACAGCTTCTGTTTCTAACGTGAACTTGGGATTTTGGTGGCTTCAGTAGAAGTCACTGGGCTGAGGCCATAGCTCTGGTAAGATGCTTGCATGTGACAGACCCTGGGTTCAGTCCCCAGTAACAAAAAAAAAAAAATTAAAATATAAAATTTCTGCAGGAGCTTTACAAATTTTAGTCAAGTCAACAAAAAATTAATCTTGTCCTGTGGTAAACTGTTGAATCATGATACATCTTATAATCTTGTTAGAAATAAAAGCTTCAGTTATGCTTAAAGGGAAAAAAAGAACCACAAAGTAATATTCCCTTTTCTGTCATGGACTGAGCATTTGTTAGTACTAGGTGAAAGTGGCCCTTTGACTTTACTAATTATAAAGCTAAGTAGTTACTAAAACGATTTAATTAAATAGATGAAACTTACCAAATGAATTGTTCAATCCCTAGTACCAAAAAAAAGGATTGTTAAAAGCTAAATTTCCAGGAATAATATCTAGAATTCCTTATAAAAGGAATCTAAGTACTAATAAAAATTATGAACTAATATTACCTATTATGCATTAATGTAGTAGATCCTCAGCACATATATAATTAAATAGGACCAAAAGAAGTATGTTTTGGAAATGGGAAATGAAATACTGTTTTTGCATAAACTGTAAATTTCATTCTCTTGATTCCTTTTAAGAGCAGAAATAGGTAAATCGATTTCTGAAAAACATTCTGCAGAGAGCATTTTGCTGTTGGCGTCCCTGTCCTCTGTGAATGGTAGGGGCTGGCTGAGAAGCGCCCAGCGGTCCTCACTCACTGGTCTCTCCCCCCAGGTGGTGGGACACGCCTTTGACCAGGTGGAGGAGCACGTGCAGATGCCCTACCACGAGACCGTCTACTCCTTGCTGGACACACTCAGCCCCGCCTACCGGGAAGCCTTCGGAAACGCGCTGCTGCAGAGACTGGAGGCCCTGAAGAGGGACGGCCAGTCGTGACTCTGCCTCTTCCTGTGGAGGGAGCTGCTGCTGCTGCTGCTGGTACAGAACTTAGGCGCTGAACTTGAAACTCTCCGTTCAGCCCTAGTAGAAAACGCACCTCTGATTTTGTGTACTTACCACTTGCGTCACATTCAGAACGTTACTGACTAATGAATTGTCTTAGTTTCTGGCTCATGACGGGGAGTCTCAGGCCATTGCTTTGATACTGTCACTGAGACATTTAAGTTTCTTCCTACGAATTCTCTGCATTTCAGAACCTAATCAGTATTTCATTCTTTTATTACAGGGCTTCGATGCTGCCAGCGCTCCCTTTGACATAGGAAATTCTAGATTTGCACAGTAATATAGGAATTAGAATTGCCCAACTTCCAGCTTGGATGCAGCCTGCTACATCAGGGGTTTGGACTGACTTCCTAGGGATTATTTGGGGACTAGCCTTACTGGAAACAAACTGTCAACTGGTTTCCCCTGCACAAATTTTGAAATTCACTGTTTCACCTTGTCTGTTTGTATTACAAATATGGATTGAAAAGTGAATCCCGGGCTGGGGATTTAGCTCAGTGGCATAAGCACCTACCTGGCAAGTGTGGGGTTGTGAGTTTGATCCCCAGTACCAAAAAAAAGAAAAGTGAATCCCTTACATATGATTTAACGTGTGTTAAATGAAAAACAGGGACCAAAATAGTTCTGTGTTCCTCGTTTGCCACAGCCAGCCATCTAAGCAGAGAAGGAACTGTTAGCAAATGAATGTAATAATGATACCTAAGCACATGAGCAAATACAGGAGCAGGCTCCACCCTCAACAAACAGCAGCCTCGCTGTGTGTGACTGCAAAGGGAGAAGCTCCTGGTTTCCCGGAATGCAGTACTTTGACCTGTGTTGATTCTTATTCCGAATGTCTGTTTACATGATGTACAGTGTATATGCAGAAAGTATTTTTGCTCCCACGTTTCCTTTCTACAACGCGCGGCTTTGGTATTCCGCGAACCCCTCCCCACCTCCCCTCCGTGTGCAGTGTACTGTGAGTGGACCGTGTGAGTTCAGACCCACGGATGAGTGCAGTGTTCAGAGACTTCCTATTTGACAAAGAGATCCTCTGTATTTTCTATTTTGTTACCAGCACTGATATTTATAAACTTAAACCACTTGACCATGCTGCTGCATGTTTTCAAGTACATACTGAACAGTAAAGATTGAGTTGTTTTCTTAACAGTCATTGAAAGCAGGTGCTTTAGAATACTGAACTAGAGCCCTGCACCCAGACACACCTTCATCAGTTTATCATCCGCAGGGCATTTCGTCATTATTTTTTGAAAATAGACATTTTAGGCTCTGAGTTCCTGCGAAGGCTGGAGGTGCAGCTCAGTGGAGAGGATTTGCCTGACGGGTGCGAGGCCCTGGGTTCAGCACCCTGCACAAGCAGAGAAGATAGATCAGGTGGGACCACAGCACACCAGAGCTGTTTGCATTGCCCCCACGGTCACGTGTCATTGCAGTGCTTTGTGTTGGTGACTGTGTTCCTTCTCAGCTTTGTGTTCAGATGCTTTCCCATTTGGGCAGTGAAGTCTAACCAGGTTGACCTTTCTCATGCTTCATTAATCTCAGGCTAACTGTAAAAGATATTTGTAAAGTTCGAATAAAATCTGTTTACTCATACTTGAGTTAAGTATGAAGAAAAGCACTTGTATCTTTAAAAACTGAAATTATTCATTTGCGATAAATGATTAATTGCAAGAGGTACAGTTTCCATTGTTTTAGTTTTGCGTCGTCACATTTTGATTTAGGGTGAAGTGAGTTACTCTTTTTATTACCACATAAAACAGATTTACCTGAGAAACCTAGCATTATAACCTCCATTTTCTCATGCCTGTAATCCCAGCACTCGGGAGGCTGAGGCAGGAGGATCGTTGAATTCAAGACCACCTTGGGCTACAAAGTGAACTCAAGGCCTGTCTGAACTGCATAAAGAGACCCTATCTCAGAAAAATAAAATAAAACCTCCATTTTCCCTATATGTACTGTGGTAAACAGTTTAACCAGGTAAACTGAGCCTGGATTTCACTTGTAAAGGAAAAAGAAAAAAATTCCCCAACTCACAAGAAAAATAAAAACAACAGGCAGGTAATAGAGCTAAGAACTCCAAATATCTATTTCAGTAATATGTAGAGATGTTTCTTTTAAGAATTTGTTTCTTTTTTTTTAAGAGTTTAGCAAAAATAGCGGATACAAAAAGAGGACTACAGAGGCTCCCTGAGACAGCTCAGATGCTGAAAGAATTTTTTTTTTCTTTAATCAGTACCCAGAATCAAACTCAAGACTGTGCACTTGCAAGACATCGCGCTTATGCCACTGAGCTAAATCCCCAGCCAAAGATGTTTCTTTTAAAGAGGGGAAAAAGTAAAAAATGTATCCAGACATGGAGGTGCATGCCTATAATGTCAGCACTCCGTAGGCTGAGGCAGACGGGTTGCTGCAGTTCAAGGCCAGCTTGGGCTACATAGTGAGTTCGAGGCCAGCCTGAATTGCATAGTGAGACCCTGTCTCAGAAAACAAGAAAAAGTGAAAAGTGCCCAACCAGTAACATAAAAAAGAAAATTTTGGAACATAAAAAAAAAAAAAAATTGGGGCCATTTCACCTAATTGGTGATTTCTTTTGTTAAATAAAATATAGTACCATACCAGGATTTAGTGAGGGGCACTGTCTTCTATGGGAGAATATACGGATAAAACCTTTTTGGAAATGCCAACTCGAGAATCTTTACAAAGATTATAACTTCTGAACTGATGACAAACTAGCATAGGGAAATGACTCAACCATCTACAAAGATAACTGGTAAGACTTTAGGGAGAAATTCTGTTACATCCTTTTGATATATTAGAAGTTGTGGCAAAGTGAGGAAGGGAAAAATTACGGATATAAAAATACTTTCAAAGATCTCATATGCAATAGAATGTTAAATGAAGTAGAATTCTAAAACTAAATCCTTACTAGGTGGTAAGATAGGTAGTTCTCATTTTCCTTTATTTTTTCACTTTTTCTGCATTAGCTTATTAATTCATGGGGCTGGGAGTGTAGCTTAGTGGTAGAGCTCAGCTCTTACCATGCTTGAGGTCCTGCTTCAAACCCCAGCGACCTAGGAAATTCGAGGATAGAGGAGGAATGCAGTAGGCACGGAATTTGAGCAGAAGAGCATTTCACAGCAGAACACCACACTGAGCTGAGTTGCATCTGCTCCAAGGCAATGTGGTTACAGAAGCGTACACACCTCATTTCCCGTAGTGACACTTCCTCCCCACTCTCCTGCCTCACCCAGTGATTCATCACACCTCCCACGTGGCCGGTCACCTGCTGGGGTGTACTTGTCACTGGCTTCCTCCAGCTCACACTCATGCTCCAGGATTCAGAAACATAAACTGGTACGTGTTCAGAGAGAAGAGAGCAGGAAAATAGTGATTCTGCAGTGTGCCTCCTCCGCTTTAGAACTCTCCCTTTAACTCCTTTAAGACTGGCATCACTGATGCTTGGAAAACGGCAAGACACGGAGTCGTACCCCTTCGTGAACGGTAAGCGGATCTCGAGTGGCCCCGCCCCACTGCGGAAGCCCGCGGAGCGCGGGGACCGAAAGACTGTCTGCACCCTGGACCACTGACTCACGCCGCACTCGGACCCCGAAACTCCGCGGGGAGCGCTTGATGGTGCCAAGTCGTTTGCGGCTCACCGCAGGAGTTTAAGTGACTCCTCCCCCTACTCAGCAGGGGCCTGGACCGTGAAGCTTTGCCTTTTTCGCCAGAGGCAATATTTTTAACCATCAGAATCAAGTAGAGCCAGGGATTTAGCTCAGTGGCATAAATGCCTGCCCGTCAAGCGCGAGGTCGTGAGTTCGATCCCTGGTACCAAAAGACAAAATAATCAAGTGGACGTTAGCACGGGTTTCCAGAGTTTTGCAACAAGAGGTGAAAGGATACCAAGATGGCAAGATCCCCGTGACACACGATGGATGAATTCGGCCCAAGGCGCGCAGCGGAAAGAGGACAGGACTAGCCCCGCACGCACCTGCAGCGTCACGCAGAAAAACCCTAGCTCCACGGAGTCCGCGTAGCAGACTGCGCATGCGCCGCAGTGGGGGGGGGAGCGTGGGAGGCCCCGCCCAGCGCCTGAGACACGCCCGCCCCAAGGGCTGAGGCCACGCCTCCTTAGCGACTGACCCGGCTCCAAGCGCCGCGGTGTGGGAGGCCCCGCCCCGCTCTACCCGGCAGCCCCGCCCAGCGCCCGAGACGCCACGCCCCCAGGGCCGAGGCCACGCCTCCTTAGCAACTGACCGGACTCAGTCACCTTAGCACCCGACGCAGCTCTCACCATGTCTGAAGAGGACGAAGCCGCTCCTCGGACGGAGAAGGTTCTGCGGATCCAGAGGGTGTTTATAAACCTGCTGGACACGTACAGCAGCGGGAACATCGGGAAGGTGAGCGGCGGGGTTCCAAAGGCCGACCCCAGCCTTCCGCTTCAGGGCACAAACCCGGGTAGCACAGGTGCAGGCCTTCTCCAAGGGACTTCCCAAATCCCGGGCCTCGCCAGTGTCCCCGGACCCCACTCCGCCCCCAAGGGCTGGAAACCAGCAAATCCCGCCCTGTTTCTGGCGCTTTTAACGTAGGGAAACTGAGACCAAGACCAAGAGACGCCAAGAGCGCACAGAGGGGACCTGGCCTTCTAACCAGGCCTCCCGCCTCCCGCCTGGGGTCCCCTCCCATCCTGCCGCCGCTTCTGAAGCGGGCAACTGGCGAAGAAGTCAATCCGTAGCTGCGTCCACCCTTGAAGCAGTTCCATCCACCCATCCCTTTACTGAGCATGGGTGTAAGCGCCAGGATCTGAGCCCTGCGAAAGCCTCACTGTCTCCATCCTTAGCCCTGGACAGTGAAGATACTCCAGAGAACCCAGGGACCTTCACCCTGCATTGCCCTGGCACTCACAGAAAGCAGCCCTGGAGTCGTCTCTCCTGAGAGGGCCCACTGCTGTTACTTGCAACCTTAAGAGTGGGGTGACACAGTGGTCTAACCTCACCTCCTCACCCAGAAGACCTCCAAGAGGCTCAGGTCATACCCCGACGTGAGGCAAAGCTCCCTGACACGGACAAGGCAACAATGCATGTCGCCAGTACTGGTTTCCTAGGGCTGTGATCACTCACGAATCACCACAGCGAAACGGGAGGTGGGGGAGACTTCAAACCACAGACCTGAGTCTGTCACAGTTGCAAGTGCGCTCACACGTGCTTGTGTGCATGCGTGTGTGTGTGTGTGTGTGTGTGTGTGTGTGTGTGTGTGTGTGTGTTTTACTGGGGACCGAACCCAGAGCCTTTGGCATTCAAGATAACCAGTGAACTAAGCCCCCACTTGCTTGCTTTTCTCTCTCTCCCTCTCTCTTTTTCCTTCTTCCTTCTTTCCTTCCTTTCCAAAGTCTTGTTAAATTTCCCAGGGTTGCCTCAGACTCACAGTCCTCCTGCCTCAGCCTCCTGAATAGCTAAGATTGCAGGCATGAGCCACTGGGCCCAGTTTTCTAGGGCAGAAGTCCAGAGTCCAGGTACCAACCAGGCTGGTTCCTGCTAGAGCCTGAGAGGACTGACTGCGCTGGGTTTCTGCCCCGGCTTCTGGCATTTGCAGCAATGTGTGCAATTTGCAGCAGTTCTTGGCTAAAAGACCCAGCCAACTCCTGCCTGCTCCTTCCCGTGGTCCTCTCTCCCGTGCCTCTCCGCCTGAATTCCCCTCTTCTTAGTAGGACTCCATACATGAAGTGAGGACCCATCCTAATCCAGTATGATTTCATTTCAGCTTGTCTGTACCTGCCATGACCCTAATTCCTAATCAGGCCATATTACAGGTTCCAAGAGGACAGGAAGGGCTGGGGATTTTAGCTCAGCAGCGTAAATGCCTGCTTGGCAAGCACGAGGTCATGAGTTCGATCCCTGGTGCCACAAAAACAAAAAACAACAAAACAAAACAAAAAAACCCAAGAGGACAGGAATTGGGGTAGGGTGACACTATTCAACCTAATACTAAAGTTTGGTCAATAATGGCTATAGAATTGACATGTAGAAAATTATATATTTCATACAATTATACGTGATAATGCATATTTTACACACTGGATGAGACTCCAAACAAATGATGTATCTTCCAAAAATAAGAAGAAGGAAAGACAGGACAAAGGCACAAGCCAAACTAAATACAGTAACTAAGTTATTTTTAAATAAAGGAAGCATTAAGCCAGGTATGGTGGCAAAGGCCTTCAATCCCAGCACTTGGGAGGCCAAGGCAGAAGGATCACCTCAGTGTGAGGTCAATTTGGGCCACACAGCTCAAGACCAGCCTGGACCACATAGTGAGACCCTGCCTCACAAAACAAACTAACAGCAAAAACACAGCATTAAAAAGACAGATACCTAACCCTGGGGAGTGAAGCGTGCCTATAATCCCAGCCCTAGGGAAGCTGAGCAGGATGATCTCTGTGAGTTTTGAGCCAGCCTGGGCTGCAATCGTGAGTTCAAATCCAGCTTGAACTACACAGCGAGACCCTATCTTACCCCCCACACCCCACCCCCAAAAAATAAAGAGAAAAAGCCATGTGCTAGGAATGTGGTTCAGGGAGTAGAGTGCTTGCTTGGCAATGACAGCTGAGCGTGCCTTAGTGCCCAGGTTCGAGGACAAGGGCAGTCCATTGTGAGTTTTTCACAAAAAGATACAGATATACAGAGAAGACAGATAAGAGATAGAGACAGATAATAGATCATCTGTACACCTAAAAAAAAATGTCAAACACAAGAAACTGCTAAGTTTTGTCCCCTTCGGAGAACAGGATTCATAGACTCAAGAGTGCCACATGGCAGACACTACAATCAGGACAGGGCTACACAAGAATAAGAGGTAAAAAGATTGCTGACCTCAAGGCTCCTGCCTCTCCTGGAAGGAACGGACAGTAAGCAACATTTTAGGCCAGGGGTTTAGCTCAGCAGCACAGTGCCTGCCTGGCAAGCACAAGGTCATGAGTTTGATCCCCAGTACCAAGAAAAAAGAAAAGCAACATTTTAAATAAACACAACATTTCGGTGTGTGTGAAGCACTCTGAAGGATGGAGAGGGTCAGAGGGCTGGGGAAAGATGGCATGGGGGCAAGGGCTCTCAGGAAAGCCAACCTTCATCTGTCAGAGGCAGGTCAAGGTCTAAGCCAGCGAGACAAACCCCAGGGGGTGCAGCAAGGGCAGAGACTGAGGTGGAACAAGGGGGGGGGTGCTGCAAGACCAGAGGGGCTGGGCGCCAGGAAGCAGCTCTTCTGGGGCCGACTTCTTGATGCGCAGGGGCAGCAGGAACCTTGCATACCCTCTAGACTTCTAGAGGGTGATGAAAACCTTTTCATTTCTTTTAAAATCAGAAGAAAACAAATGAAATTTAAGTGTCAAAAGATTGTTTGGTGCATAGCATGCAATCATAAAATATCATTTCTGCAATTTTTTAATGGAGAAAGGGGCCCACGAAAGCCAGCCAGCTGCTGAATGGTGACACAATGTGGTCTGTACTCCTTTCTGCTACTTGCAGAAATCAAAGCGTCAGCGTCAGGCGCAGGGGGCCAGGTTTGTATTCTAGCCCAGGGAAGCCTAACATTTTTATAATAAAACCTTCAGACACACAGAGATCTTTCTCAAAAGCTTCTCAGTCACTTTCGGGTTCGTCTTTAATCCATGGGGGCCTCTCTTTCTGGCACCCCAGGTATCTGCTCTGAATCTGTACAAGCAACCTGGCAGCAGTAGTGTGAAACATATCAAAGAAGTGGCAGCAATACCCCTCAATTTCAGCTGTACCCCCAAACTGGGCAGGGTCACCCCAAGCCCCTTCCAGCCTTGTCCCCTGCTCCTGTGATCTTGTTGGCTATCAGTTTTCTCATCTAAGCAATGGGATAGTAAAATTGAATATGTATGTATGTTTGGATTTAAATGAAGACATATAAAATGTACTTGAGAAAAATATCTTCCAGTAAGAAACTGAAGCTGTGAACTCTCATGCCGACTTGGATGATCTTCTCTACCCCCCCCCCTCCAAAAAAAACAATGTGGGATTTTTTGTTTGTTTGATTTTCATTCCCAAGTGTACTAAAGTCATATTCTTTACACAAGTTTAATATATAAATTAAAGTGAAATGATTTTTACTTATATATGAGTAGAACCCTTGGATACTGGAGCAGCCACTCCCAAGGAGAGCATTTGCAAAAACAAGAAGACACACTTTGCTAACTTCACCCTGTTCTGCTACTCAGTGCAGTGGCCTCTGGCCACCTGTGGCCATTGGTCACTTCCAAGTGTCCCGGTCCAAATGCAAAAGTGTGGTAAATGTAAATACACACAAAAATTTAAAAGACAGTATAAAAAAGATGTAAATTATATTCATACTTTTTATATTGTCTCCAAATTAAATTTATAAAATTTAGGGTATATTATAGTAAAGAAAACATTATTTAAATTGGTAACTTAAATTATTTAATTTAGCATTATTTAAATTAATAATTTAAATTAATTCCTTTTTTTTTTTTTTTTTTTTTTTTTTGTACCAGGGATCAAACTCACCACCTCTCGCTTGCCAAACAGGCGCTTATGCTGCTGAGCTGCATCCCTCGTACTCCATCTGTTTCTTTCCAATTTTTTTTAATACACCTGTTAGACAATTTTGAATTACTAGGCTAAGGATGTAGCTCAGCTATAGACTGTTTGCCTAGCAATCCCTAGCCCTTGGGTTCAATCCCTAATACCACAGAAAGAAAAAGAGAAAAGAAAATTTAAATGACCTAAGTGGTTCACAGAACAGGTCACTCTCTGTCTGTCTCTGTCTCTCTCTGTCTCTGTCTGTCTCTCTGTCTCTCTGTCTCTGTATCTCTCCGTCTCTCTCTGTCTCTCTCCACCCCTCGTCTCTCCCCCCTTCCTTTTAGAGTTACTAAGGGTAACCAAGGGGCAGCCTCGCACTGGGGCTTGCCTAGCTTACCCCAACAGTCGTGGTCGTTAGTGGTAGGTATGGTTTTAGGGGTCCCTTGCACTCTTTCTTGTGTTGGTTTTACAGATAAGTGGGTTTTCACATGCACATAAAATCCTTGGGACATTTTCACCCCCGGGTCCTACCCCACTCTAATTTCTAACTTCACTCTTAATTTCTTTGGGGGTGTCAATGTGAAGAGCATATTTTATGTAACTCCGTCCCTATTATTCCCTTCTTCGTGTCTGGTAACAGTCTCCTCCTACCTTTCTTTCTTTCTTTCTTTCTTTCTTTCTTTCTTTTTTCTTAGATTCCACACTGTAGGGAGAATGCCTGATATTTATCTTCCCTATGTCTTATTTCACTCACCAGGATGAGCTCTAGATCCACCCATTTCCTTGCAGACGACAGCATTTCGTTCTCGGTCGTGTGCCCTGTCACTCACCCGCTGGAGGGCACCTGGGCTGCTCCTGTATCTTAGCTGTGCACGGCGGTGCGGGCCTGCAGCGCAGCCTACCGGACGCTGCCGTGTGCGTCTCTGTATCTCACTGGACACGCCCGGCGTCCTCACCAGAGCCCGGCTCCACGCGTGGTCCAGCCGCGAAGGGGCCCTAAACAAGCGATGCGAGCCCTCAGAGGCGGGGCTGCTGGTCTGTAACACGGGAGTCACAAGGGCACCCACTCCGCTGTCGCTGTCGCGCGGGAATGAGACCGGCTGAAGGCTTCCCTCACTGTGTGGTTTTTAGAGTGATCGTTCACTGGCTGCCCTTCCGTTGTTGGTTCTTAGTACTCAGGAAATCCCTGTCTTCTTGTAGTTCCTGGCCAGCGCTGTAGTTGGGGCTTCCCTTGAAGAAGTCGCAGAGGAGGAGGAGGAGGAAGATGACAATAAACCTGCCCCAGAAGCCACGCCAGCCAAGCAGAAGGAAGGCACATTCCAGATCGTGGGCACGCTTTCCAAGCCGGAACACAGCCCGCCGGACTTCGCCACGGAGACGTACAAGGTGGGAACAGGCAGCCCTGCAGGGAGTGGACAAAGGGAAGCGTCCCCTCCACTCCGGCCTTTAGTGTGCCGTCACTCCTAGCTTGCCACTCCTTCTACTTCTGCAGACACGCCAGCAAAGGCAGGGCGGGGGACCCGCTGTTCTCCTGTGACAAAGATTAACCACATTAAACCTTTGAAGCCAGGCACGGTGGCACGTGTCTGTAATCCTAGCACCTGGGAGGCTGAGGCAGGCCTGAGAGTGACCACAGGATCACCCTGTGTTCGAGACCAGCCTTGGCAACATAGTGAGTTTAAGGCCACATCTTAGATGAGATAGTGAGACCCTGTCTCAAAAAAAAAACAAAAAAACAAAAACAAAACAGAAAAAGTATGACTACAGCAAAAATTCAAATTAGACACTATTGAAAAAGATGGTTCTGATTTTGATGTCCAGACTCATAAAATTTTTCTGTATGCTATGCTTAAAAAATCTTCCATTGGCATCACCCAAGACAGCTGTGGGCCGTGAAGGCACCATCCATGAAGGAGAAATACCCTTTGAGAGTAAGCTGCCAGGAGCCACACGTGGTGACCCACACGTGTACCTACAGCTATGCTCAAAAGTTCCAAGCCAGCCTGGCCAAATTAGCAAGACCATCTTAAAATTTTAAAAGATAATGAAAAGGGCTGGGTAGTAACTCAGTGGTAGAGCACCCCTGGTTTTAACCCCCAGTACCAAGAAGAAGGAGGAGGAGGAGAAGTAGGAGGAGGAGGAGGAGGAAGAGGAGGAGGAGGAGGAGGAAGAGGAGGAGGAGGAGGAGGAAGAGGAGGAGGAGGAGGAGGAAGAGGAGGAGGAGGAGGAGGAAGGGGAAGGGGAAGAAGAAGAGGAATAGGAAGAAGAAGAAGAAGCCGCCACTCATGAACAGTTTATCATTGTGCCACTGTCTTATTGAGAAAGCTGCCTCCATGTGACAAATTCTACATAGCTGAAGTCTGGTGGGTTTTTTGTTTGTTTGTTTTTTGAGACAGGGTATCACCATGTAATTCAGGCTGGCACTGAACTCACTACACACAGGTTGACCTCAAACTTGCAACAGTCCTGCCTCAGCCTCCCCAGTGCTGAGATTACAGGCATGTGTCACCATGCCTGGTGGCAGTTGAATCATTTAAGATCCCCTGGGAAGTGTGGCCCATCTCCTCCTCTGCCTAGTCTGCTTTTCTCTGGGCCTTCCATACAGTGTCTTAGACTATGCCCTATACCAACCTTCCTTCCTCCCTCCCTCACCTCCCTTCCTCCAGTCCTATTCATCCTTCAAGACCTAAGTCCTTACCCTATAAATTTATACAATTATGTGCTAATTAAACATAAAACATAGACCAGACAGGTGGCACATGCCTATAATCCCAGCACTTGAGGCTGAGGCAGGAGGACTGCCTGGGGTTCAAGGCCAGCCTGGGCTCTATAGTTGAGTTCAAGGATAGCTTGAACTATAAGGTGAGGCCTTGTCTTTTAAAAAACAAAACCAATAACAATAATAATAAAACTTGAAAAATATTATTAGTATAAATTTCATCCTGCACTCAGCTGCCCTGAAGCTGAAAGCCACGGGCTCCTTGTTACCTTGCCTCCCACACTGCAGGATCAGGGAGCCTCAGCCCGTCTCCCCTTTCCATTCTCCTGCCCTGCGCATTAGCTTGCATCGCCATCGAGGCGCTCACTGTTCACCCCACTTGACTGAATGTGCACTGAGCACCGCAAGCCTCCCAGGATGAACACAGAGCTCCTGGCCCAGCGGGGGCTCTGTGCAGAGCCCTGAACGTGACAGCAGAGGGGTGCACCCTGGGCACGCTGAAAGGGGCAGGTGACAGCTCTCAGTCCCGTCCACAGAGCATGTCTCACTGAGATGTCGTTCCGTCTAAACAGTGAGGTTCCCTTGGAGTTCAGCGCTGCCAATGCCTGTCCCTTTTCTTTACAGAACCTCTCTCGAGCAGACCTCCTCACGCACCTGCTGGAGTGCGACGTGATTATCTACAACATCACCGAGAGCCCACAGCAAGCGGAGGAAGCCATCTGGGCTGTCTCTGGTCAGTGGGGTGACTCTCTGATGCCCTTTTCCTTCTTTTGCCACGCTGTGCATCAAACCCAGAGCCTCAGGCAAGCTAAGGCAAAGCTCCACCACGGAGCTACACCCCAACCCGGTACCAACACCCTGAAATTGTAAAGGGCACAATTTGTGTGCAGGGTGTGGCTTCAAGACCTAAAGATTCTCTCTAAAAGGAGCAGTTTGATTCATTTCAACTAACGTTCTCTGATGCAAAGGTCAGGGAGGGAGGGTGGAGAACAGGCACATTCTCAAAAGGCTTTGAGGGGTGTAATGAAGTCTGAGGACCTCTGGTCTAAGTGGACAAGATGGAGTCTAGCAATTAGCTCTTTCTGTGATTTATCTCTTCTTTAAGTCTGGAGGAAAGGAGAAAGTGGGTCAACTGATTTGAATGATTAATTATTCTAGACTGGGACAGCCAAAAAAAGACAAATAGTATCTTGTATTTCAGTGCCTTTGATTTTCTGTTTTGTTTTGTTTTGTATTGTTTTGTTTTGTTTTAGATGGATTAGATCAGGAGTTAGCAAACTTTTCACATAAAGAGCTAACGTCAGTAAATATCTTTGGCTTTGTGAACCATCAAGTCTGCCACTGTGGGGGAGCACAGCCATAAGTACCATAAATGGATGGGCTGTGTTCTTGTAAGTCTTTATTCACAAAAGCAGGCAGTATTCTGCTAGCCTTTGGATGAAATGTCCAGCAAAACTCTATTTGGGCTTAAATTCAAAGAAATGGAACAGACCCTCATCTAACCCGGCCTTAACTTAATACAAGAAAACACCTGCTCGAGGCTCAGATGCAGCTCAGTGCTCAAGTGCTCACTAGCATGTGGGTGACCCTGGGTTTAGTCCCCAGCACTTTGACAAACAAAAAGTCACCCCCCAAATGACCTTTGGCCGGTGTGGTGGTACACACCTGTAATCCCACACTCTAGAGGCTGAGGCAGGAGGATGGATCACCATGAGATTGAAACCAGCCTGTGGGTTACATGGAGAGTTTGAAACCAGCCTAAGATACATAGTAAGACCTTGTCTTTCATAGATACTGAAAAAGAGGGCAAGATGGCGTAGGAGAAAGGAATGAATTATTAGAAATGAGAAGCAGAGGCCTGGGAATTTAGCTCAGGGGCACAGCACCTGCCTGGCAAGTGCAAGGTCCTGAGTTCAATTCCTGGTAGCCACCAGAAAAAAAAAAAAGGAAAAATGATGCTAGGGCTGGGGATTTAGCTCAGCGGTACTGATAAAAAGAAAACAGAAAAAAAAAGTGTAAAAAAAAATGAGAAGCAGATATTTGCATACATGGATGAAGGGAAGGGAAACAGGTCTGCCACAGACATCATAACGCAAAAAGGATTATGACCCGGCTAGAGGAGCTCCAAGTGTGTCAGGAATTCACAAAACAGGCCGGTCCGAAGCACAGCAGAGCAGAAAGGTTAAAAGAGCAAAATTCACTGGAAAAGGCGGTTTCCTTAGGATAGAAATAGAAACTGGAGCTCACAGCAGCGGCACGGTTGCAGCGTGACCGCAGCGGTCTCCCAGCGATGCTTCCCTGTCAGGGCAGCGACCCGGTGCAGGTGGATTCCGAGGTCGCAGCACCTTTCGGGACTAAAAGGGCCCCGTGGCGACGTGAGAGCCGGGCCTCGTGGGGCCCTCCCTGCTGCTGCGTTCTAGAGGCTCAGCCTCCACACGGGCAGCCCATAACCGCCGCTCTTGGCCTTGCAGCGCTGCACCAAGAAATCAGCCACTTCGGGAAGCGCAAGGTGTTTATTTTGGTCTCCACCGTGATGACCTGGGCGCGATCCAAACCTCTGGATCCGGTAAGCCGCGCCCCTGCCCCTGGGGGAGCGCCGGCAGGGAGCCTCTGACACCAGGGACCCCACGGCCCCCACGGCGCTGCCTGTAAACCGCACTGTAAACCGCACCCGGGCGTGTCTCGGTGGTGTGGCCCAGGGCATCCCAGGAGGGTTTGTCACCTTTTTCCCTGGTGGGCCGCACTTGCGGTGCACCCTTCCATTCCTTACTGGGAGCTGCAGGTACCGAACACACCTGCTCTCCTTCCCTCCTCTCCCCCTCCGTCTCTGGATCCCTTCCCGTCTGAGAGCAGCCCATCGCCCTACTTCCTATGATTTTTTATTTTGCTCTTTATTTATAAGAGAAGCCATGTGATATGTAAGCTTGCATGTCTGATTTATTTCATTTAACGTTATGGTCTCAAGGTGCATCCAAGCGCAAGGTCCTGAGCTCAATTCTCGGTACCAAAAAAAGGAAAGAAAGAGAAGAAAAAGATAGTATCGAGGTGTATCCATTTTCCTACAAATTGACCCAGTTTATCCTCCTTTATGGCAAAGTAGCACTCCACTGTGTGTAAACAGCACATTTTCTCTGCCCATGCATCTGCTGATGAACGCATAGACCACTTTCAAGGTTCGGCTATTGCAATTTGTGCTGCTATATATACGGGTGTGCTCGGATCACTGTGATGTGATGCCTTTAACTCTTTCTGGAAGACACTGAAAAGGGGGAATAACTGGGTTGAAGGGACTTTCTAGTTTTAGGAGATTTTTAGGGGAGAATAGGGTTGTTTGTTTGATTTTGTTTTTTAGAGACAGGGTAGTTACAATCTCACTTTAATTCAGGCTGACCTTAAACTCATGCCAGCCCTCCTGTCTCAGCCTACTGAGCATTGAGATTGAAGGCGTGTGCCACTACATCTGGCTATGGCCAGAGACACTGACCATTTCTCCACATCTGTATCAGCCAGTCCTGCTTCTCCTTCTTCTAGAAAGTTTCAGCAGAGCTGAAAAATTTCTGTTCCTGGGGCTGTCGTAGCCCTCCTCGGTTGTGGCACGTGTTTGTGGGCTGCTGGTGCAGACAAACGGCTACTGTGCTTATTCCGTACGGCAGCAGAGCACGGGCAACTCGCTTGCTGCAGAAGGGTGCTGTGTCCTGGGGCAGCCTCTGTGCCTCCTGCGGCAGGTCCCATCCTAGACCCTGCACCCCAAGCGTTCTCATGTAGCCTTGTACCCTGAGGCCCATGCGTGCACGAGTCCCCCTGCAGAAGGACACCCGACAAAGAACATGCGCAAGTGGACGGTGATGGCTCCCGTGCACCAGTCAGCCCGAGCCGCAGCCTCGAGGACCTTAACCAAGAACAAAATGATAACCTGGGCATGTGGCACTTGCCTGGGACCTCAGCACTTGTGAGGCTGAGACAGGAGGATGCTGCAAATTTGAGGCCAGCTCGGGCTACCTAGTGAGTTCAAGGCCAGCCTGCCCTACAGAGCAGTGGCTATGTCAAAGGATCAAAGAAAAGAAGATCTTTCATTTACTTATAGGCAGACTAAGCAGATGGTTAGTACAAGAAAACACGATTACAGTCTGTAAATATACACAACTAAATAGAAGGACGCTGCGGCATCCTCCCTCAGCGCTTGGCCAGCCCGGGGTGCAGCGTGGACCCGCAGCTCGCTGTCTCCCCAGAAGCCCGGCAGGGTCACCGTGCCCCAGGCAGGCAGGACTGAGCAGGCATCAGCAAAGCAGGGCCGGGAAGCCTGGCCAGGGTGCCCGGGAAACCTGGCTTTGGGACAAAATAAATTCTCCATTTATCAGAGAAGATACAAAACTGCATACAAATCAGTTCTGACATAAAAGAAGGGTGGCAATAGTAGAGTGTTTTCATCTGTAGAATTTTATTTTTTTCACCAGAGAGTGAACATTTATTTTACTTTTAAGGGGGTACTGGGGATCAAACTCATGACCTCATGCTTGCCAGGCAGGCACTTGTGCCACTGAGCTAAATCCCCAGCTCCTGTTGTAATTTTAATAAGTAGGAGAATCTTAATCCTGTGTTTTGTTTTTCTGTACTACCCATCTGGCTTTGTTTAGTTAGTTACTTATTTATGTTTATTCTGACAGTACCAAGGATTGAACCCAAGGCCTTTGCATTAAGCTATGTGCCTGGCCCATTTTTGACTTCTGAGACAGGGTCTCCCTGAGTCTCTGGGGCTCCCCTGGAAGCCCCCGCCTTAGTGCTGCTCCTTCTGTCTTGCAGGAGGACACTGAGGTCCCGTTCACCGAAGAGGACTACCGAAGAAGGAAGAACCATCCGAATTTTCTGGACCACATAAATGCTGAAAAAACAGTCCTCAAATTTGGGAAGAACGTAAGTGCGACGTCACAGGATGCGGTGGGCAGAGAGGCCATGTGAGGCCCTGTGCTGAGCTTGTGCCTGACGCCTAGTCAGGGTGAGGGCTGTTCCCCGCATCTCTCTGGCCTGATGTGGTGGTGCACGCCTGGAATCCCAATTCTCAGGAGGCTGAGGCAGCAGGAGTGCTCAAGTTGGAGGCTTACCTGGTCTACTTGGCCTGAACTATATGGTGAGATCCCACCTCCCTAAACCAAAGTAATAACAACAACAACGGTAATAATAATAATGTAAAATAAAATTTTAAAGACCTATGTGTTTAGTTTCCCAGAAACTTATGTCCGCAGATCACTGAGCTGTGGTCTCATCCCTCCGTGCACCCTCCTGAGGGGTCCTGGTGCAGGTCCTGGTCTGCCCACCTTGCAAGGTCCCGGCTGAGCCTAGGGGCTCTGCGCATCCCCGAAACTGCCCTGGGAAAGAAAGGACCCCCATTTTCTCTCTTCACTGGAAAGCTCATTTTAAGTCAGGGTGCGGAGCCCAGAGAGCCTCCCCTGCACCGGGTCGCTCTGTCCCAGCTGGCCGGCCCGCCTGGGTCACTCTGAACAATGACAGTGCTGTCCGGGCCCCGGTGCCCCCAGACCAGGGGGCACTGCGGGATAGAGGCCGAGAGGTGCAGCCGTGGTTCACCCACCTCCACCAGACAGCCGGCCCGCGGGGTCCCTTCTGTCTCCTGGACTCGGAATCCCGTCCAGCCAGCTTATCTCCACGCGTCTGCGCTCACCAATTACTAGGATGCATGCAGAGCTGACGAACTAATGCGCACGATCAGAGCCTCTCGGCTTCCTGTGCCAGCAGCACTGGTCATTTTGGCACACACACATCGTAAAAGTTTTGTATTTCTCTTGTCTTTTATCAAAAGAGATGACAGGAATTTCCCTACTTATGAAATAGTAAAGCTGAGAAAACACTGAAGGCTCGCCTCAGTGTGTGCCGAGCGATGTTTTGTTTATTATGCACCATGAATAATGAATATTCATGGACCTAATGAATAATTTTTAAAATTCTGTGATGCACAGGGCGTGGTAGCGCACGCCTATGACCCCAGCACCCGGGGAGGCTGAGGCAGGAAGATTGCTGCTAGTTCAAGGCCACGCTGGGCTACATAGTGAGTTCAAGGCCAACCTGAACTGCGAAGCGACACCTTGTTTTAAAAAAAATCTGTGAAATATGTACTACTAGCACTACCCTATTTTGCCCATATAGAGCTTACATAGAACCCCAAAATTTCTGGAGCCGGAAGTGGTGGCTCACGCCTGTAATCCCAGCACTTGGGAGGCAGGAGGGTCGTTGCGAGTTCGAGACCAGCCTGGGCTATGGAGTGAGTTCAAGGATATTTTATTTAAAAAAAATAGCTCTCATGCTAGTTTGCAACTTGCTGTTTGCAGCAGCCATGAATAGCCATGCCATGCTGCCTTGGAGCCAGCTGAGTATGGACTGAAGCCTCCAAGAACTGCAATAAATAAGCCTTTCCTTCCCTAAAAAATAATAAAAATAAAAAATAAATCAAATAAATATAAAAGGAACCCCAAAACTTCCAAAAGTCCCAGTAATGGAAGACCAACCCTACTAAACGCAGTGCACACGTGACTCTCTAGAGACACCTAGTGGCCGCTATGGATATTACAACAGGAACTTTGGCCCCACAAATTCCCCTGTGGCCTGTGAAATAAATAACCAGTGCCACACAGCACAGCGCTGTGAATATAAAATAATCGAAGAATAAAGGAGAATTAGGAATTCTAGATCCTTGTATACGCATTAATTTACCGCCTCATCCAAGTCACTAAACACTGGCGTGATGTCTGGGACCTACGCCAGGGACCACAGCTCCCAGCAGTGTTCTACTGCTGAGAGATACCCAGGCCACAATTTTTGGAATTAAAACAGATAAAGGGACTAAATTAGACGGCCTGAATTTCTTCCTGAATTTAATAATTATTTTACTTTGTTAAAAGTTTGGATTTGTGAATCTGGGTGTGATGGTGCACACCTATAATCCCAGCCCTCTACTGCTGAGGCAGGAGGATTTCTTCCAGTTCAAGGCCAGCCTATACCCCATATCAAAAAAAAGACAGCATTTCTCCACTTTATATTATCCTTCACTTGAACCTTTTATGTGTATGATCATATATTTTCAACCAGTGAATTAGACATATTCAACAAATCATGATTTTGGGGGAACAGAGTCTCCCTATGTAGTGCAGGCTGGTCTTGAACTCACTATATAGCCCAGGCTTGCCTAGAACCTACAGAGGTCCTCCCACCTCAGCCTCCCAAGTGCTGAGAGTCAGGTATGTGCCACCACGCCTTGCACCTATAATTTCTGGTGCCCTTACAGTCTTTACATTATCTCAGTTCCACAGGGTCTAACTCAAAAGCCTCGGTCTGTGCATGAGGGCAGATTGGAATTGCAGCTTTATGTATACAGTTTATTCATATGCTGTGTTGGTTACTGTTTTCTCCTTGCTAAGCCAAAATACACAACACCCAAAGTTAAGGAAGGAAGAGTTTATTTAGCTCACAGTTTGTGGAGGTTTTAGTCTAAAATCAAACGGCTCCAAGACAGGGTGGCACATGGCAGAGGGCAACAGTTCTCAGCAGCAGAGATCAACACAAGCAACAAGAGCTGCAGGGAAGGAGGACACAGGGAGACTCTTCCTGTCCCTCAGGTATGAGGGACACACCCACGGGGGCGTAGCCCTCACATCCATCCCAGCATTGGGCCATGAGTCACTGACAAACCCTAGAAGCCTGCCCCCATGGCCATGTGAGGTTTTGGGGGGACACCCAGACACAGGCCACAACTTGTGCTATCTAGAGTCACTTTGTGGTATTCCACAGGCATTTACCTCCTTATAAACAATTACAGAATAGCTATTCAAAGGCATAGTAAACATAACCCTGATTACACTACAATATTCAACATAGGCATCCCTAGCTTTGCATTCTTTGATGACATTAGCACATTAAAGAAAAATATGCCATGAACAGTGATGCATGCCTATAATCCCAGCACTCCAGAGGCTGAAGCAAGAGATTTGCTGTGAGTTCAAGTCCAGCCTGGGCTGAAAAGTGCGTTCAAGACCAGCCTGAACTGCATAGTGAGAAAAAGAAAAAAAGGGAAAACAGATGTCTTCCCCAGAACATGGTGTGCATGCCCCCAAAAACATTCAGATGTGAGCTGTGGTTTCACCAAAATCCGTGCAGGACAACCAGTCATTGCCTCCTCCTGCCCGGAGTGTTGCTCCTCGACGCCCCTGTCGGTCACTAAAGTCTCACAGAATTTCCCTGGCTGGGGCCTAGTCCCCTGCACGGTCACCCTCCAGTCCTCTGTTCTGCTTCTCTCCAAGGTCACTGGCCCTAGGCTGAGGATCTGGTGGGCGACACCCCAGCTCTGCACACAGTTGGGGCGTGCGTGCATCCCCCGCTGTCTGTCGCAGTCACCGTCAGCAGCTTTGTTCCCTGGAGCTCGTCAGAGTCCTAGTAGCAGCTCACAGTGTCCCAGGAACATTCTGAGGCAGGCAGGAATTCAGAACGCCCCAAGTCAAGCCTTTCACGGCTGAAACTGTTTCTCTGGAACCAGTTTCCTCCTTAACTGTTTATCACAGATGAGTGACTCCTTCACACCCTCAAGTAAAATCTTGGGCCTTGATTTTCTTCCTTTTGGTGGGGGGGGGGGATTGAACTCAGGACCTGGTGCATGCCAGGCTGGTGCTGTGCCACTGGGCTGCACCCCTGGACCTTCTCCTTTTTGTGACCTCCCAATGCCCTATTTCGCAGCTGCACCCTCCCACCTAACCCCTGCCTAAAACGTCACAGCTCTCAGCTTCCTTCCTGCAAAGCCATGGCCGCTCTTTCGGGTAGACATGTGAGGACCTGCAGGATTCCAGCCACAGGCTCTAAAGTCCTTGGGGAATCTTCTCTCGGCACTTTACCTGGAACAGCCAGGAAAAGCCAGGGAACTGGGTCGCTTTGCTCACTTAGCTACTGGCCCAGATGTAAGGGAGCGTGGACCAATGGTAGTGTGCATGGGCAGCTTTCTATGATTGTAACAAGATGTCTGAGCTCGTAAATGTATCAAGAAGAAAGATGTTGGCCCAATGTTTCAAAGGTTTCCGTCCCTCACAGATGGGCACAGTACATTCCAGTGGGAGCGCGTTGCCCAGTGTGCAAGAGAGGAAGAGAGACGAGGTCTCGATCCTATGCAAGGGACTCAAGGGCCTCACACCAGGCCCCAGCCATTAAAGCTTCTGTCCCCTCTTGCCAGCAGCCAGCTGAGGACCAAGCCTTTAACGCATGGACTTGGGGGACCGTCAGATCCAAACAATGGCACCATGGCACAATTTCTCCTCCAGAACTTCACTCTGTGACCCAGATTCTCCCACACCGAGGCACTTCCTGTGTCTCCTGGCCCTCCATCCCCAGCTCCTCCTCCCCTCCTTCAATTCCAGACACCTCACCTCCCTCTGAAAATCTAATGATGGTGGCGGTGGTGAGGTTTTATTAATGATCCCACAGCAGGAGGCTGCATGTACAGCTCAGCAGATTCAATCCCCAGCACCGCAAAGCAAACAAACAAAATAAGCAAAACAGAACAAGGAAATCCTATAGCACCAGGTACGCAGTCTCAGTGGGTGATGGATCTGATCGCACATCCGCTTGGAGACTCCTTAGGTCAGAGTGAAGTCCCAGCCTAACCCGCCGCTGGACCTCACATCAGCAATGCAGAAATTCTCAGCTGGCCTGCCTCTCCGGGTTTCTGTTGCATTTCATTTTGTTTTGTTCCTTGTTTTTTCTGTTTTCGAGATGGTGTCTTACTTGCTGTGTTGCCCAGGCCAGTCCCTCACCAGTGAATCCTCCCGTCTCAGCCTCCTGAGTAGCTGGCACCACAGGTGCGCATTGCCACGCCTGGCTTCAGTTTTTTTTTTTTTGTTTTTTTTTTTTTTTTTTTTTTGTCTTTTTCCTTTTTATCGGTACCGAGGATCGAACTCATGACTGCCTGCTTGCAAGGCAGGCACTTATGCCGCTGAGCTAAATCCCCAGCCCCCTGGCTTCAGTTTTAAATCAAGCATTTTCAGGCTGCCTTGTGAGTGTGCCGGGAAGGCAGGCAGTAAACTGGATCAGTCCTCAGGTATCCCTGAGTATTATCTCAACTGTGAACTGTCTGACATTCCACAAAGGACGTCCCCACCCCACCCCAGGTAGCAGAGCATCTCGCTGATGATGAAAGACAGATAAATATCAAGGCAAAGTCTCCCAGTCCCTACACCATCCAGAGGACAGAGTGAACTTTCCAGTCAGCTGAAACCCCCTCTCAGGCCTGCTTCTGAGCTCACGTGATGTTCATCTGTCACTCCTGCTAGTAAACCCAGATCCTGGGAAGGACCTGTTTTTCTGGTGTTTTTGTTTTGGTTTTGGTTTGGGGGTTTTTGTGAGACAGGGTCTCACTGTGTAGTGCAGGCTAGCCTTGATCTCACAGCGATCCTCCTGCCTCAGCCTCCCCAGTGCTGGGATTATCACGCCCGTCAGGACCTGGATTTATAATCCCTGGTTTTATAATCCCAGGATAGAGTTTACAGGCATCCCATTTTCAACATGTAACAAGTCTGTAATTTCACTAAGTGTCCTGGTTATATTTCCACAGTGGTCTGCGGCATTCCTGAGTAGACAGTGTCTCTGCCCTGAGCAACTCCTAACGTGTCCAAAAGAGTTGATGAAACGCCCTCTTGCCCCTCGTAACGACTGAAGCGATCTGGTTAATGTACTGAGGATCTGCTCCTCAGCCATTTTCTGTATTTTACCCCACAGGCCAAGATATTTGCAACTTATGTAGTCGCGGCAGGACTTCAGTACGGCATGGAAGGAGGCATCTTACACACGTTCTTTAAGGTACCACTTTTCACTATGTGGATTTTGTTGAGCACATTTTACAGGGCTAGGGGTGTAGCTTGCGGGAAGAGCTCTTCTGGCATTGTGCTCTAGCATAAAAAAATAAAATACAATAAATCAGCTGGGTATGACAGCATACCCATGTAATCCCAGTACTTAGGAGGCTGAGGCAGGAAGGTTGCCTCAGATTCATGGCAGTCTTCCTGCCTCAGCCTCCGGAGTGCTGGATCACAGGCCCAGGCCACCATGCGCCACTTTGACTAAATGTATTAATGGTCCATATGAAAGGCTTTCAGAGTGACGCTTCCGCATTTATAAACAGCATGCACTGATCACATACACCCTCCCCGTATCTGCCCTCTCCCTCTCCTGTCACTGGGGATCCAAGGAGGTTGCCCAAGGGGAGAAAGAGGCCTCCCTGCCCCAGAGGAGGTTCTTAATCTGTTGCAGAAAGAATCTCAGGACTGGTGGGTGAGAAGCATAGGTAGGCCTCTAAGCAGAAACGGGTTCCTTGCGTTGCATTTGAGGAGTGAGGGGCCCTGGGTCTGCGGGGGGACTCGTGTGGCCTCAGGGGTCCCCGCAAGGCGGGCAAGTGCTTGTTTACTCCTTTGAGTTCTTTATCAGCATCCAGCGCCCGCCTCCTCCAGGTACAGCCAGGTGCTGCTTAGTGAGTGGCAGTGGACTCGGGGTTTTGTGTGAAAGTGGGGGGCATAGTGCCCATGGGGTTCATTAACAGCGTCGCACCCCACAGTGCAGTCCACAGATCGCGTGGACTCTACTATGCTGGGAAAGATGGGGCTGTCTGCAGACTGACTGTGCCCTGAAGATACAGGGGTTCAGAGTGAGGAGTCTAGAAAGAAAATATCCCAAGTGGGATTGGGTCCCCACCTCCTCGGGACCAATTTCCAAAGCCTCCGGCGATTTCTCCGCAGCCGGGCCTCCCCGTCGCTTCACTGTGGTGAGAGCTGCAGCCCTCTCCCACTCCGCTGAGATGAACAACTGCTTTTCTTTCCTGTAGCTCGCTTGGCTGGGTGAGATCCCCGCGTTACCTGTTTTTGGAGATGGAACAAATGTAATTCCAACAATTCATGTTCTAGACCTGGCAGGGTAAGCATCTCCCAGAAATGTGACCTCTTGTGTGGTTCACTGATCTTTCTGTATTTTTAAATTTTTTTTCAGACAAGGTCTCATTCTGCAGTTCAGGGTGGCCTTGAACTCACAGTGTGACCCAGGCTCCCCTTGAACTCTTAGCAATCCTCCTGCCTCAGCCTCCAAGTGCTGGGATGACAGGCATTTGCCGCTTGCCCTCACATCTATGTATAAACTGACCTTTATTGAGCATCTACTCAGTACGAAGGCCCTTACACAGAGTGTGGTATTTATTCTTCCCAAAAACCCTATGCAGAAGGTTCTAGTGGTACCATTACTACCTCCATCTTGCATGTGATTTAACAGCGTCCACCTGGAAGCCCCATGGCTTCCTGCTTTTTGGTTTATTTTTGCTGTTCTGGGGCTGGAGGTGGAATGCAAGGCCTCCGGCGTGCTAGGCAGGTGTGCTACCACTGAGCCACACCACCAGCCCCCAGAGTGAATCTCTTAAAAACTTGGCCGGCAGAGCAATTCTAGGAAAGCGGAGCTTGGAATGAACAGCATTAGGGACACGACTTTCTCCTTTGCCCTGCTAGAGACGGTGACGTGGGCTCCCCAGTTCAGATTCCAGAAAGGAGACAGATAGGGGCTGGTCTAGATAAGACAGCAGCTGGCCAGTGCTTGCGGGCTGAGGTACGGGGAGGAAACAGGCTGGCTTTATCTCACAGCACAGCCTTCTAGCGTCAGGCTCACAGCAGGCTGGGGTCAGCCATGCCCGGGAGCTTTGCGTAAATGGTAAACAGCAAATCATGAGTGGTCACGGGTACAGTACCGGCTCAGACACAGAGTTGAAAAGTAAAGGTCTGTTTTTGCAAAGGGCCTGAGATAGCTTGAGATCATCATCTCGACACTGGCCGGCCAACATTCCTCCCCTGCTCACATGCTGAGCCATGGCTTCAGGGCTTCTGCAGAGGAGCCCAGGTTGCAGGGTCCTGGGCGTCTGCACCCGTGGAGTGGCCCAGCCCTGCTCACAGAGCGCCCTGGCCTGACACCAGGCCATCAAGTTGGGTCCTTACCTGGGGTCACAGCTCAGGTTCAGGGGCTTGGTTCCCCCACTGCAGGTGCATCCTTGGTTACTTTTGTTTTTAAGGATGGATCTTTTAAATTAAGTTTCGACCATATCAAAAATCAGTCTCCAGCCGGGCCTGGTGGCTCACGCCTGTAATCCCAGCACTCGGGAGGCTGAGGCAGGAGAATCATTGAGAGTTTGACCAGCCTGGGCTACAAAGTGAGCTCAAGGCCAACCTGAACTGCATAGTGAGATCCTGTCTCAAAAAGACTAAAAAAAAAAAAAAAAAAAAAAAAAAGCAATGTTCTGAGTCCAATATTGACGGTGGGGACAGAGGGGCCAAAATATGTCCTGCTAGTCACCCCTGATGGTGCACGCCTGTAACCCCACACTCAGGAGGCTGAGGCAGGAGGATCTGCTGTTAGTTCCAGGTCAGCCCAGGCTACACAGTGAGACCCTGTCTCAAAAAACCCAAAATAAATAAATAACTCAATGTGCCTTTCTGTTTTTGCAGAGATTTTACCTTTGGTTACCAGGTTTTAAAGATATAAAGAAGTCTTACATTTTTAAAACAAAATGTGGGGCCGGGGAGTTAGCTCAGCGGCCTAAGCTCCTGCTTTGCAAGCGTGTGATCATGAGTTCCATCCCCAGTACCAAAAAAAACCAAAATGTGTCATTTTAGTCCCAAACAGAGAAGTTAGTGAACAATTTTCCACTATGGAAAGATTCGGTTCCCTTTCCAGTAACATTTTTTTTCCTTCCTAAGAGTTTCTTTGAAAATTCAGATATTTAAGAAAGAAGCTAGAAGTTAACATGAAGTTAATGTGTCCAGAGAAAATAACATAAAACAAGCCTAGCGGCCAGGCCGAGCACGCACGAGGCCCTGATCTAACCCCGGCACTACCAAAACCGGGGAATTAAAATCACGAAACAAACACCACTCATTACTTTTTTCTTTTTCGGGGCTGGGAAGTGACCTCAGAGCCACACCCGGGCCCAAGGGAACCCCAGATGAGTGCCCGTGCGCTGCAGTTCACTGACCAGGGAATCGAGTGGGGGAGCTGGCCGCTGTGGCAGGCCCATCGCCCCCCACCCGGGTCTCCCCAGAATCCTTCGGTCTGTGCACCCGGCCTGGCTCTCAGCTGAGTCGCTCCAACGCAGGACACTTGGCTTCCTGCCCCGGAGTCTGCATTTCTGGCTCATACAGAGGGCAACGCTAGCAACGCCCTGGGCCTGTCGTGGCGAGGACTCCATGGGGTCACAACCTGGAGCCCTGGCCTCCATCCGGGCCTGGAGCTAAGCATTCAGAGATGCTCACGGTCCTTGCCTCATTGTGAGTTTGAGACCAGCTGGGCAGCCCGGTGCTGAGTGCTGTGCGTGAGCCCAGCTTCTTAGAGGCAGTGACTCACTCAGGGACAACTACTGCACCCCATCCCACCCCTTCGAGCTCCGGCCAAGCCCCAGCTGGCTGTCTTGCCAGGCAGGTTGTGCACAAGAAAAAAAATCAGGGCAGAGGCCGGCGAGTGTCTCCCCAGTGGCTGACTCCTCTGCCTGCCCAGGTGTCCTTCAGCCTAAACGGTCACTTCACTCCTTCTGTCCCTCATCTCAATGACAATTAAGTGAGATGACATCAAAACACCAGTGCCAGCAGGGAGGGAGGCTGAGACAGGAGGATGGCTGTGAGTTTCAAGCCAGCCTGGGTTGTATCACGGAACTCTGTCACAAATAGACGGATGGATGGATGGATGGATGGACAAATGACAGGACAGATACCAGAGCTGATGCCTGCTCACTGGGGCTGGATAGTGGGGAGTTCTAATCATCACCTCCCTTTTGCTGCTTCCCTGCCACCCCCACAGAGTGATACAAAACGTAATAGACCACGTGCCAAAGCACCACTACCTGGTCGCTGTGGACGACTCCGCTAATACCCTGGAAGACCTGGTCAAGGTAGGGTGGCCGGCTGCAGCCCATACGGTGGTGCCGCTTACACACCTTTACCTCAACACTCATTATGGAATTAGCTGTGCTAATAAAACCGGGCGCCCTGCAGTAGGATGCACTGCGAACCCAAACTCAGCATTTGCAGCGGCTCACTGGGGAGCCCCCACCCGCTGCCCTTTCTCCAGGACCTACCTGGAGAGAGACAAGAAAGGCCACTCCCAGGCTCAGGTGGCCCCTCAGTCACACAAAGATACTCAGTGTCTGTGAGGGGTTTTGTTTGTTTGTTTTTTATTTATTTATGTACTGGGGATCGAACTCACAACTGCACACTTGCCAGGCAGGCACTTATGCTGCTGAGCTAAATCCCAGGTCCTTGAGGTTACTTTTTTTTTAATTACAGTAAAAGACACATTGCTGTTAAAACCCCTCAAAATCCTCACACAGGAGTCCCCTTCTTCCCGGCACTTCCTGCAGCAGCTCTGCAGGTGCTCTGTCCAGAGGGTCTCTAGTTGCATGGTCACGGTCACAGCCGCCTTAATGTCCTCAGCTGATTCAAAACGTTGACCTCTCATGGCTCTTTTGCCATTGGGGAAGGGCCGGAAGTCACATGGGGACAAGTTCAGTGATGAGCGAGCATGAGGACACACCCGCATGTTTTCCCGAGCCCGCCTTGCTACTGGAACGCGCTCAGCAGCAGTGCTCACCATGTTTTTGATCACACCTCCTGAAGACCCTCTGAAAGAGGACTTCCCAGCTGCTCCAGGAAATGGCAAGAATGACGGGGTGGGCGAGCTGCAAGGGACAGGCCCACCTGAGGCATATTCATAGCAGGGCATCCTCAACTGTCCAAAATCTAACATTGTAAGCATTCGCTGAACACTTTGATCACACTTAACATGAAAATGTGTCTCCACGCCGGGTCTCCTGGCCACTTCCCCGGCCTCAGCTGAGAGGGCCGCTCCTCCCAGGCCTTGCAGCCACAGTTGCGGCCAGCTCCTGCCCTGCCCGAGCTGCTCAGACCTCTTCCTCAGCGCCCTCACTGTCTCCTGCCCCACTTGTGTCCACACTCCCAGAATGCCTTGCAGCTGCTGCAGCAAAATCCCACAGTAGCTCTGAGAGGTGGGAAGTCCAGGCCAGGGCCTTTGCAGGTCTGGTGACCAGTGCAGGCCCTTGGGACGTGAAAGTCCTGGCCTTCTCCCTGTCCTCTCACTAATCTCATTCGTCAGGACTCTACCCTCAGAACCTAATCACCTCCCCACACCCCACTTTTGACACCAGCACCCTGAGGGGTCGGGATTTCAACAGAAGAATGGAGGGGTCTCAAGCACTGAGATTGTCAACAGGCAAAATTACAAGTGTAGAACTGACCTAACTGACATTTATTTTCAAAGCATCTATTAAGGCAGCTTCCATCTAAAAATAGAATAAGAGCCCCAAAGAGGACAATGACACAGCCAGATAAGGTGGCTCACACCTGTGATCTCAGCATTTGGGAGGCTGAGGCAGGAGGATCACTGAGAGTTCAAGGCCAGCCTGGGCTACATAGTGAATTCAAGGCCAGCCTGAATTGCGCAGTGAGACTCTGTCTCAAAAAAAAAAAAAAAAAAAAAAAAAAAAAAAAAAATTAAATGTTATAAGACACATCCCCGGGCCTTGGGATTTAGCTCAGCGGCATAAATGCCTGCTTGCAAGCACACAGTCGTGAGTTTGATCCCCAGTACCGATTTAAAAAAAACATAAAAAGACCACAGGCCAGAATGCCCCTGCCACATCGCACAACTATAATGTGATCGTTATCTGTGTCCAGCTGTCTCCTCTTTCAAACTGGGAGCTCCTCAAAGGGCAGGGACCAGGCCTTATTCATCTCTTTCCCAGTGTATTTTGGGAACAAATAAAGGAATGCCCTCAGCACACGGTCCTCTGCTTTCCGGATGCTTCAGCCTCTGTACTCATGAGTGTTCGTTGCCTCCAGAAGCTGTGTGTGAAGCTCTCACAGGTAAACCAAGTAACGCCTCTATTTTTTCTTAACAGTTCATCAGTAAAAGTACTGGCCCTGGCAAGATCCAGAGAGTACCCAAAGAAAATGCTTTCCTAATCAAGGAGCTGACCGTTAGTATGCAAGATTTTTTTAAAAAGTCTTCCTAAATGTTAGTGAGTTTTGGATCAGAAGGGCCAGGGGCCAACTCCATGTCCTGGGGTGGTGCCGCTGCTCTTTCTCCAGCCTCAGGTTTCTTTTGTGTAAAACCCTAGGAAATGTATGGAAGGCTGTTGGAGGTGTGGCTCTCCCGTCTCCTCCTGGGGTGGGGGGACCCCACTCTTGTCACCAGGACCTGCAGACGGCAAAGCCTCTTGCAAATCACAGGTGCCGCAGGCTGTTTCTGAGGAGCAGAACCGGCTGGGTGGATTTGGGAGTCAGAGGAAACCTTTTCTGCCGTGCTCACTGTTGTGTGTGTGTGTGTGCGTGTGCGTGTGTGTGTGTGTGTGTGTGTGTATGTGTGTGTGCGCGCACGCATGCGTGTGTCTATGTGTGACTGGTAACAGAACCCAGCCCTTCACAATGAGCTCCATCCCTGGCCCTTTTTTTCCCTCTTTTGTTTGGTTCTGGAGTTTGTTTTGTTTTGTTTTGATCCTGGAAATCAAACTCAGGACCTTGCGCCTGCCAGACAGGCGCTGTGCCATGGAGCTATATCCTCAACCCTTGTTTTGTTTTTAAAACAGGGACTCAATATATGGTTCAGGCCGGCCTTGAACTCACTGTGTAATCCAGGTTGGCCTTGAACTTGGGGCAGCCCTCCCGCCTCAGCCTCCCGAGAGCTGGGATTATACACATGCACCACCACACCTGGCTTATTTATTTATTTTGTCTTGAGACAAGGACTCACTAAAATTGTGAAGATACGCAAGCGAGGCTCTACTGTGCCTCCGCCCCCAGAGGGCTGGGATTCTGGGTATGTGCCACCATGACAGGCACATAATGGCTCTTTTGGGGAGAGGGGATACTGAACCATGGTCCTGCGTTATTCAAAGAGCAGGAGTTATGTGTGTTTTTAAAAAGGGCCAGGGGTGTAGCTCAGGGGTGGATGCTGGCTGGCATGCCCAGCACGGAGAAAAGGAAAGGCAAAAAGAATATCCGGATAGAATCGCAATCCCCTTGCACTGGCCCGACTTCCGTCCTCAGTGAGCAGCCTTGCCTGCCGTGCTCACCGTAGTGCTCCCGGTCACTTCAGACTGTGGAAAGGAAGCAGCAGTGACAAACCCGTCATTCCCCCCCCCCCCCAGCAAGACAGCATAGACCACCTGCTGGTCAACCTGAGGATGGAGTCGCTCTTCGTGAAGGAGAACTTCAACATCCGGTGGGTGGCGCAGGCTGGATTTGTGGAAAATGTGAACATCGTCCTCAAAGAGTACAAGCAGAGCAGAGGGCTCCTGGTAACTATCACCACCCCACCTGCAGATGCCCACCCCAGCCCCCACCGCGTTACAGCGGTTATACCGATGAAGGTGCCGCCTCTTCAGACACCCCAACTATCCATCTCAGTCACTTTCCAAACTGGACAAATCTGCCAAGGTCTGACGATCTACACGTACCTTAAGCTGACACTCCTCAGCCGACCCTTCAAACTGTTTAAATAAGCCACGTGCAGCGGTACACACCTGTAATCTCAGCACTCGGGAGGCTGAGGCAGGACCTCAAGTCTGAGGACAGCCTGGGCTGTGCAGTGAGCTCAAGGCCAGCCTGAACCACGTAGCAAGACCCTGTCTCAGAGAAAAAAAGTTAGCATTGGTAATCACTGCTGTGCAAATCAAACAGGGCAGTAACCTCAGGATGGATTGGCACTGTCACAGCATTACCCACATACGCAAAATTACCCAGGTGCCTCCCTACCTGTGGGGAGACATGAGGGGAGGTCAGATCCCCCGGATCTGCTCTGATCTCTCTACTGGCCAGGGGATTTTACTGCCCGTTTTAACCAATACAACCTTTCAAGGCAAGTATCTTTTTAAAAAGTTATTGAAGGAATAAAAGTTGTACCCAATGATCATGTACAAAGCCAGGATGGTTTTTGAAGCATTGGAGATTGAACCCAGGGCCTTGCTTGACCCTGAGCTGCACCCCAGCCCGTTTTTATTTCTTATTTTTGGTTTGTTTTAAGACAGGGTCTCCCTTAAGGTGCCCGGGACAGGCCATCCTCCTGCCTCAGCCTCCCAGAGTGCTGAGATCACACGTTTACCACCAGGCCCTCTGTTCACCAATCTCTTTTTGAAATACCTACACGTCCTGACCTGGTTAAATGAAGTGAATTAATGCGCGGATTGCCTCACATATTGTCCTTCCCTCATGGCGGAAGGTAGGAATGGTGGAATTCTTCGTATGATCAGGTTTTAAGGGCGACGCTCTTACCCCACTTTACGGATGAGGGAACTGGCGCTCAGAGAGGTGAAGCAGCTTCCAAAGAGGCTCCCCGCAGGTCGGGGATGCAGAGATGCAGGCGCAGCGGGAACGGGTCACCTAACTGCAGAGTGTCCTGGCCTCCCCCTGAAACCAGACACAAGAGCAGCAGCACCTGCCCCGGCCTCGGAGGTGGCCTGGGACTTGGGGAAAGCGGAACAGGCGGGAAGAAGTTTCGGAGCTGCAGATCCGTGTCGTGGTCACCTGTGTGGCTGGGGACAGAAAGCGGGCGGCTCCCTAAAAGGCCAGGGCCTCGCCGCCGTCCCCAGCCGGTCCCACCTCCTTGGTCCACGGCCTCAGTTTCCCTGCCTGTTTGGCAGCGATAGGAACGATGCTAGCCAACCTCGGGGGCGAGATTATGAAATCTTTCCAAGCAGGATGGAAATCTTTTATTTTTTCTTTTGTCATTTGGGCTCTGGTGATGCGCTGCGTCCCCAGCCCTTTCTACCTGACCCTGACGCAGGCCATCTCCCCAGGCTGGCCTCAAACTCGCAAGCCTCGCACTGCAGCTCCTCAAGTATATTACTAGTTATGAACGCCACAAATTTTATTTAGCATTCAAGCAAGCACATGTTCAGCAGGAGTAGTGCTGTTTTTTAATGTGCTTTTTAACAGGAGCTTATGCTGCTGAACTAAATCCCCAGCCCCTAAAAAAAGTGATAAAAACAATTAAATCGGCATTCAGCAGGCCGAGGCAGGAGGATTACCTCAAGGTGGAGGCCGACCTGGGCTATGTACCAGACCTTGTCTCTTAGAAAACAAGGGGAGACAGACACAGAGAGGTAGCATCCCCGAAATAAACCCCTCTAGCTGCTCACTCACTGCCCAGAGCTCACAGGCCCCTTCCGCTCCCCTCGCAGCCCATCAAGATCTGCATTCTGGGGCCCCCTGCGGTGGGGAAGTCCAGCATCGCGGAGGAGCTGGCCAAGTACTACAAGCTGCACCACATCAAAATGAAGGATGTCATTGCCGAGGCCATCGCAAAGCTGGTAAACCTTGAACCGGAATCTTTATCTTAGAAAATTGCTTTTCTTAGTCTTGTAGTAAGCAAGCAACTAATCTCGTGTGCAAGAAATTTGCGATTTTCACTGGATCCTGCCGTCCGCCTCCAGTTGCGAGTCCCACGGGCTTTCCTCTGCCAGACAGAACTATTTTTCGTGCCCTGCCCTGGGCATGCGGTTGACCTGCAGCTCTTCCTCAAATGGTATCCTGTCTTCTCTCTGCGGAGGGAAGCGCTGTTAAATGTTTTTATTCCTGTTTGTGTGTTTTGAGAAAGGGTCTCACCACACAGTTCAACTGGCTTTGAACTCATTGTGTAGCCCAGGCTGGCCTCGAAGTCATGGAGATCATCTTGTCTCAGCCTCCTGAGTGCTGGGACTACAGAGCAATGATTGTATTCTCGTGGTGTATTTCTCAGGGTATTATCAGCATATTGACTTTCATCATTTTGCTGGAAATGGTTGATCCCGGGGTATATGTCCATAACCGAGTACGAATTTAGGGGGTGCTGGGTATTGAGCTCATGTCCTCATAGCACTGAGCTATACCCTCAGCCTACAAATGTCCATTTCTATATACTATATTTCCTGTGAGAAAGGGACAACCTCGATCCTCAGTGAAGGGTCCATTCCTCTGCAGCTTGGGTATTAGCTCAGAAACATGTTACCCTAAGAGCAGAGTGAGAAACACACAGCCTGCAAACGGTGCCGGGCCTGAGTCCAGAGCCCTTGGACAGAACTACATCCCCAGTGCTTTTTCACTTTGAGACCCAGTCGTACTAACGTTCCTGGGCTGGGCTGGGCTGAACTTGGATCCTCCTGCTTCAGCCTCCCAAGTGCTGGGATTACAGGAGTGTGCTGCCACACCGGTCCCACAAACTTCTGCACGATGACGGTCCCTCCGGTCCCTCCCTCCCTTCCGGGCCTGGGAGACTCGCCAGGCTTCTTCCCATGCCAGGCGAGCAGCAGATGCCCTACAGGGGGCGCTCCAATCCCAACCCTGTGGTCTGCAGGAGGCGATTGTGGCCCCGAAGGGCAGAGTGGAGGAAGAAGGTGACGAGGAGGAAGAGGAGGAGGAGAACATGGAGGACGCCCAGGAGCTGCTGGATGGCATCAAGGACAGCATGGAGCAGAACGCGGGTACCAGGGGGCAGCACGGAGAGCGGAGGGGGAGGGAAGGGGATGAGGTCTCACTCTGGACCCCAGCGCTAGGCTCACGGGGTGCTCACCTGCACCCCACATTCTTGTTAACACTTCGGTGATAGCCTGGGGTGGGATAGGAAGGAAGCTTTTAAATGTGAAGAAAGAGGGCCAGGAGTGGGCGCACACCTGTAATCTCAGCGCTCAGGAGGCTGAGGCAGGAAGGTTGCCTCGAGTTCAAGACCAGCCTGGGCTACACAGTGAGTTCGAGGCCGGCCCGAACTACGTAGTGGGACCCTATCTCAAGAAAACAAGCAAAAATATTCTGATTCTCGAGGATCTGACCCAGTCCTGGCCCTTGCTTTTGGGGGAAGGAAAAGCTTCAACAAGAGCCGTTCAATGATGGGGAGGTTAGAAGGGAGGACCCAGGTGAGGCCACTGCGGGCGGGGGCAGGGTTTGTAGCAGTGAAGGAGCAGGGTCACAGGGCACTGGGGACAAGGGCTGACACCCAGATCCACGTGGAGGGCGTGTGCGACAGACACTCCTACACGGGGTTTCCCAGGACCCGGGTTGGCCCGAAGTGTCAGTGTGACCACGGGAAGCACTGCATGCCCTGGCAGCGCCCACGCAGAGTCCACCAGAGCGCGGTGCGGAGCCCAGAAGTGCTGTCGCCGCCCTCAGTCGCCATGCTCCTGTAGGCCTTGGCAGGAGGCCTTGTCCTTCCCTGGGCACGGGAGAAGCCATAGGCAAGAGGCAGGATGTGGGGGGGAGTCTGAGGCGTCTTGGGGGAGGAGAGGTTTCAAAGTAACAAGCCAAGGCCTCCCGACACCACCTCCTGCTTCCTGTGGGTAGTTCATCCAGTCCCACTGAACTTTATTTACTTGTTTGTTTGGTTTTGATTTTTATGAGACAGAGTCTCACTGTGGAGTTCAGCTCTCACTACATAGTCTCAAACTCACAGCAGCCCTCCTGCCTCAGCCTCCGAGTGCCGGGATTACAGACGTGTGCCACCGCACCGGCTCCCTTTAAGAAGATATGCTTTTCCTAAGTTTGTCAAAAACTCTTCCCACTTACGTTTACCTAGCATAGAACTTGGACTTTGATTAGGTTAGAGCAAAACAAGACCTTTGCTCCCGCCACGGGGCCAAGTGCAGGGCACGGAGCAGGCGCGGCGGTGCTCACAGGGCTGTGTCTGTGTCCAGGCGGCTGCGATGAAGGCCACGTGCGGCGCCCAGGTCCCGACAGTGCAGCCTTTGGCCCAGAGGCTTTGATCTGGGTTCTCAGCACTCATCCTGTATCTTCCCAAAGCACTGAGGAATCACATGGCCTGGCTGTGGGCTGGACGAGTCTGCCTGCCAGTCTGCCTCTCTCTCTCTCTTAAGATACTAGGGGTGAATCCAGGGTCTCTGCACTGAGATCTCCCTCCCCCATCTTTTTTTTTTCTTCTTAAAACAAGGTCTCACAAAATTGCCCAAGCGGGGCTGTGGCTTGCAATCCTCCTGCCTCAGCCTCCTGATTGCTGAGATTACAGGTGTGAGCCACCATAGCCAGCCTGAGCTAGTCTGTCAGTTTATCTGTGAGCTCGAAAGTATAAAAGGAAAAAGAGTCGGTGAATGAGCCAGTGTCATACTATCCATGCTGTGACTGATGGTTGTAAAACCTTGGCTTGTAGCTACTTATTTTCAAACCCTGTTGAAAAAGAACTTATGAATGTGAGTTAATATTAACATTTTAAATATTACTGGTATTTGAAAGATAGACCTAAAATTTTTATTTTGTTTATTTTTGTTTTTTGAAACAGTGTCTTGCTCTGGCTGGTCTTGAACTCAGTATGTACCCCAGGCTGGCCTCAAACTTGGGCCAATCCTCCTGTCTCAGCTCCCCAGCACTGAGATTACATATGTACACCACCATGGGCGGCTATTTTTTTTTTCTGGTACTGGGAATCGAACTCACGACCTTGTGCTTGCCAGGCAGATGCTTATGCCGTTGAGCTAAATCCCCAGCCAGCTGTCAATTTTTTTTTTTTTTTTTTTTTTTTGGTCTTTTTCATTTTTACCAGTACCGGGGACTGAACTCACGACCACCTGCTTGCAAGGCAAGTGCTTATGCCGCTGAGCTAAATCCTCAGCCCCCTTCGGTCAAATTTTTTAAAAAAATATATTTTAAAGGCTTTCAGTAGGACTGTGCCCATTCATTCTTTTCTTTTTTCTTTTTTTTTTTTTTAAGTAGAGAGAGTCCAGCCTTTATGGAAAACAGTGCGGAGGTTCCTAAAAGAATTAAAAATAGCCAGGGTGGGTGGCAGATGACTGTGATCTCGGCTACAGAGGAGGCTGAGGTGGGAGGATCTCCAGTTAAAGAGCAGCCTAGCAACAGCTGAGACCCCCTCACAAAGGAAAGGGGGAAGGGCGGAGGAAGAAGGGAAGGAAGAAAAATAATAACTTTAAACCAGAAGTACCATGAGGCCCAGGAATTTCCCTCCTGGATGTATATATAACAAGAGGAGAAGAATCATCTGCTCGTACAGTTATTTACATTCCGCAGAGATCCATCTGTATTCACAGCGGCCAAGACAGGGAGGTGACCTCCATGTTTATCTGTGGGGGAAAGGGTAAAGAAAATCTGAGCTGTACCTACACACATGCACGTGCACACTCACACACTCACACCGGAATATTATCCAGCCGTGGCTGTGCATACCTGTCATCCCAGCACTCCAACAGCTGAGTAGCATGTTGGAGCCCGACCTGGGCTATGATGTGATTTCAGGGCCTGCCCGAACTACAGATCGAGATTCTGCCTCAAAAATTTAAAAAAAGGAGGAGAAGAAAGAAAAGAAGAAGAAAAAGCCCCACAAACAATGGAACGCTATTCAATCGTTTAAAAGGAGACAGTCCCAACCATTTTCCTAGCATGGATGGACCAGGAGAATATTTTAAGCTCAGTGAATAAGTCAGACAGGGAAAGAAAAACGCAACCTGATACACTGCCACGTGGAGGACATTTTCTTTTTTCTTTTGGTACCAGGAATCAGGACCTTGCACTTGCCACGCAGGTGCTTATCCTGCTGAGGTATACCCCTGACCTGTGGAAGGTATTTTCAAAAGAGGTCAGAGGCACAAGATTAGAGAATAAAAGGGTGATTACAGCAGTTGAGAAGACAGGATCAGGGTGCAGACAGGAGATGCAGCTCACAGGTAGGAAACGGCAGGTCGGGGAGGGGAGTCTGCGGCCGTCCTGGGCGGCCAGGCTCAGTGAACACGACTGCACTATGGTCAGTCACCAGGCGAATACCTCGTTTTGCACAGGAGTCGGCAGGATGTAGACCACCAACTTTCAGGGGCAGCCAGAGTTTGGGTGAAGAGCGCAGAGGCTTCCCAGCTGACCCCACCCCAGGGTGCTTTACGGGTCACAGAGCGCGGTTGCATCTTCCCCTCAGCCTGTCACCTGTCAGGCACTCGTGATGCTCTCCGGCTCCTGGCTCCCCGTGTCCCGGTTCAAGGCTCCATTCTTCAGAGCCACCTAGAAAGGGATTTAAGCCTCAACAATTCGGCTGCTGTTTGGAAAGCTGTTGCTTCCTGCCTGACACCTCTGCTGTGATTTGCCCCGCAGGAATTCATAAACGTGTGTATTTTGTCCCAACAACAAAAACTGTATCAGAGGGGGCTTTGGGTGAAGCAGATCTTAGCTGCTCCTGTCTCCAAAAACGTGTCTGCAATAACAGATGGGTGCATCACTTCACTATAGAAACGTCTTCTCAGCCACACGCATCCCATGGCACCAAGTGCTCAGAGAGAATTTATTTTTTAAAAAATAGAGCAGAAGCAATCGCCTACCACACAACTCAACCTGGGCCCAAGGTCCTGGGTTACCTGGGAGGGAGGGGGGGACAGTCTTCCAGAGAAAGTGCTGTGGGCGTGCCCCTGCGTGTGCCCGCCTGTCACCTGTCATCGTGGTTACCAAGCACCCCGCGGAGAGGGCCAGCTCCCTGGGCACAGGGGCCTCCAGCCAAGAGGTCATCTTGGTGCCTGAAGTAAACCAAGAGATGTGTGACAGGGGACCTCCTTTGATTTCTGATTATGCCCTGGGCCCCTCCTAGAGATCCCAGGTTCCTGTCCTGAACAAAGAACTGGACAAGTAAAGAGGTCACAGTGGTCACGAAGTTAATAGTGGCCACCTCGTGCTCCTTCCTTTCGGACTGACTGCAGAGCTGGGCCGTCGGTCCTATCACAAACCCGCTTGATTTCACACCGGAAGAACCGAAGATGGCATTCTGATTGGTTCTGGGGACAGGGCTTGCCAGCCAATGTCCTGGAGCGATGATTGACAGACACGCCCACTGGCCGGCCGGCCACGCCCTCATCTCTTGCCTCCCTATTTCGACTCTCACAACAGCCGTTTTGCCCACGGGCGCTCAGTGGTACCACCTTACCCTCCTTGCTCCCCGAGCCTCACCCCGCAGCTATCCTCACCCCGCAGCTGTCCTCACCGAGCGTCTGGTCACTCAGACGGAAGCTCGGCCCCTTGGATTCTCCTCTAACACAGCTAGAACTCATGTCACGTTCAAAACACGGAAATATCGTGCAAAATAAAGGGCTTGCAGAACCTTCGGCTGTTACAGTTTTTGCGATGCTTAGTACCTAACCCCTATGTGTACAGTGTTTCTGAGCGACGTCTTTTATCTTTCCCTCAGGCGAGCTAGAGGATCAATATATAATTCGATTTGTGAAAGAAAAGCTAAAATCCATGCCTTGTAGGAATCAAGGTTACATCTTGGATGGGTTCCCAAAGACCTATGACCAAGCAAAAGACCTGTTCAATCGTAAGTGTGAATATTGGTTGTGTTTTGATTGTAAGTTAGTTTTATTATCCAGAGAGATAGTTGTTCAATTAAATAAATGAAATATTGTAGATAACTTTTGCATCTTCACTCATATTTATTGGGCCATAGACTTAAATTTTTACTTTATTTTACTTATTTTTTGGTCTTCTTGACACAGGATCTCACTGTGCAGTTCAGGCTGGCCTTCAGCTCACTTTGTAGCCCAGGGTAGCTTTAAACTTGCAGCGATCCTCCTGCCTCAGCCTCCCAAGTGCTGGGATTACAAATGTACACCACCATGCTTGGCTCTGTTTAATTTTATTTTGTTATATCATGAACACATCATGAGATTTACCCTCTTAAACTTTGTTTGTTTGTGAAGACAAGAGTCTCACTATGTAGTTCAGGCTGATCTTGAACTTACTCTGTAGCCTAGGCTGGCCTAAAACTCCTGGCAATCCTTCTGCCTCAGCGTTCCAAAAATTGAGATTATAAGTGTACACCACCATGCGTGGCTCAGCCTCTTACAATTTTAAGTACACATCACATTATTGTTGTCTCAGTGTACTCTGTTGCTCAGCTCTCTTACGTGTGTTCCTCTTGCTGGACGAAAGGTACATGCCCACTGATACATAACTGTCCTTTGCCGTGTCCCCCAGCGCCCAGGAAATCACCAACTCTCTTCCCTTCTATGAACCTGACTGTGTGAGATGCCTGCTCCCAGTGGAATCATGCTGTGCGTGTTCTATGACTGGCTTATTTCATAACAGGTCGTTCTCAAGGTTCATCCTCACTGTCCAGGGTGGCAGAACCCCCTTGGTAAGGCTGAATACTCTGCCATCCCGTGTGTGGGCATACTGCTTTTGTATTACTTGCTTCCTGTGGGGCTGGGGATTGACAGCAGGCTCTTCATACTGAGCTACATCCCAGCCCTTTCCTGTTTTTTTATTCTGAGATAGGGCCTTGCCAGTCCGCTAAGTTGTGACTTTAGATTCTCCTGCCTCAGCCTCCCAGAGCACTGGGATTACAGATTCTCATTTTATTCTAAAGAAGATTTACATTTTCTTTATCTTTTCATGTATCAGTGGACGTGGAGGTTACGAGACTATTCCTGAACTATGTGTTTTATTTATTGCCAGTTTTCTTTAGTGATTGCTAGTGAAGATACAGTATTTAAACTTTTGCTATGACAAGTACGTTAATAAATACAACTATTTATATTTTGTTTTACTAGAGGAAGATGAAGAAGAGGAAGATGAAATCAGAGGCAAAGAATTTCCTGTTGATAAATTAATTTTACCTGGTAAGGCTTCAGATTTTTAAAGTAGTGCTATTCAGTAAATCTTTTTCTTCTCTCACACTTGCCAGGCAGGCGTTGTGCTGCTGAGCTATATCTTCATCCTCCTTCTCCTCCTCCTCCTTCTTCCTCTCCTTCTCCTCCTCCTCTTCTACTCGTCCTCTTCATCTTCTTTTTTTTCCTGTAGTACTGGGATTGAACCCAGACACTCTTTATTTTTGGAGACATGGACTTACTGAATTGCTCAGGCTGGCCTTGAACTTGTGGTGATCCTGTTGTCTTAGCCTCCCAGGGGCTGGGATTACAGGTGTGTGCCAACACATCCTGCACTTATTTCTTCTATTTTCTGACAAAAGGGGCACAGCACAGTGTGGTCAGGAGGCAGAAGAAGGAGGGAGGGTACACCTAGGCCATGGCCCTCCCTAGGGTCTCCATGGGACAGCGAGGCAGGCCATGACGAAAGTCCGGATGATCACCGGGGCGACAGAACGGGCCCAGCCCTGGGGCAACTCAGGCCTGCGAGTGTGGCCCAAGAGGCCGTGCCTCGGGGCATGCTGCCCACTGTGTTCAGCCATGGGCCAACTCGAGCATGGGCAGTCTTTCCTCAGGTCTGTGAGGCCCCAAGACCCCAAGACAGCATGACACAGACAGTTTTTATAGACCTGATAATGCAACACAAGGGCCCACGGCTGAGTGCAGACGTCAGGCTTGGGCTCTGGGTGCCTCCTCTCCCTGAAGGGCCCTTGGCCCTTATCTACATCCGGTTTCCTTTCTTCTCTACTCTCTTGGTTGAAGCTGAAACTTGTGCTTAGGTAGTGAGTGTGGAAAATGCCATTAAAGCCTAAATCCTGCACACCTGGAAGCCCAACACTCAGAATGCCAAAGCAGGAGGAACCCCACAAATTTCAGACCAGCGTGATCTACAAAGAAAGACCCTGTCAAAAAGTAAACAAAAGCCCTTCAATTTTCACATGACTCCAGATAGCCAAATACAGCGACCACCTTAGTACATACAGCCTTACCAAGCAGAGATCAATAAGACAGTAGGGTTTCTGAATAATTATCTTGGGATACTACAAAATCCTGAATTCTCTCTGAATCATGAAGAGAAAGAGTTTAAAAAACTAAAAACAGGGCTGGTGATGTAGAACTCATCCAGGATGAACAAAGCCCTGGGTTCACGCCTCAGTACTGTTTACATACAAAGCATTTACTGGGAAAAGTATAATTTATCAGTAAATTTCTTTGAACCTGGGCATCGTGCTGCACGCCTGTAATCCCAGCACACTAGGAGCTGAGGCAGGAGGATCTTTAAGAGTTCCAGGTCAGGTCTCGATACATAGCAAGATCCTACCTCAAAAAATATTTTTTTTCTTTGAAAATTGGAAAGCCAGGGATGCTATTTGCAATATTTGATTAACCAGAATCTTTCATCTGTCATCACTCTGGGAAAACAAATACAGGATTACGTATGTTTTGGAATTCTTAGGTTAACAGAATGAGTTTTCATCTTGACATCATGAAGCCAAGATCTCCAGGGACACACTGGTGTCTTTGAGTGCTAGACCAGAATTGAGGGACTAAAGGGCCCCCTTCCTAGCGTCTGTGACAGTCACAAGAATCAAATGGCCAGCAAAGAGCAGAAGAGGTTAGAATAGCTCTAGTGTTGGACTGTTAGGAATTTATTTATTTATTATTTATTGAGCCAAGTCTCACTACTTATTCTAAGCTGGCCTTGCACTCAATGTGTAGCCCAGGCTGGCCTTGAACTCCCGGTGATCCTCCTGCCTCAACCCCAATGCTGAGATCACAGGTGTGTGCCACCGCCCCCCCACCAAGCTCCGAAGGCCAACTTGAGAGCCGTTTGCAGTAATGCGTGGTGCCAAGTGGTGCCCGGGTGTGCTGGCTAGCGGCAGCCCATTGCATCACCAGCACCGGCTTTCCTCTCCCGACCTGGCTCTGCTCCTCCCCAGAATTTGTTTGTGGTCTGGACGCCTCGGATGAGTTTCTGAAGGAGCGGGTGATAAACCTCCCGGAGAGCGTGGTGGTCGGAACACACTACACCCAGGACCACTTCCTGCGGGCGCTGAGCAACTACCGGGACATGAACACTGAGGATGAGACTGTCTACAACTACTTCGATGAGATCGAAATCCATCCCATACACATCGGTAGGACAGGGACTGGGGTCCCGGGGAGGCTGAGAACCAGGAGCCTCAGCGAGCCCCATGCATGTCAGAGGGGGATTGCAGTGTTGGTGGCGGGGAGGCAGAGCCAGTGACTGTGCTCGGAAGCCACGGGATGGCAAGGGACATTCCCCTGGGTGCCACTTTACCTGGGGACAGGTGCCGGGGAGGATGCTGCTCCTGCAACAAACCTGGGGGGAGACGAAGGTACAGAAGGCCACGCTGACATCATTTTATTTTATTTTATTTAGGTTTTTTGAGACAGGGTCTTGCTCTGTAGTTCAGGCTGGCCTTGAACTCACTGTCGAGCCCAGCCTGGCCTCAAACTCACAGTGACCCCCCTGCCTCAGCCTTCTGCATGCTGAGATTGCAGCCATGTGCCACTACACCCAGTTTTGAAAAAAATGCATGGGATCGCCTGAGGTTTCTGTCCAGTACATTGCTGCATGGTCCATGTGCCACCCGACCAGCCCCTTCATGAATGGGGCTGAACCCAGGGTCTTGGCGCTGAGCGGTGTCTCCAGCCCTTTAATATTTTTGTCTTTTGAGCAAGCTCTCAGTGGGTTCCTAAGCTGCCCAGGGGGTTCAGACTTGCAATCCTGCGTCAGCCTCCCGGGTGTGTGCTGGCGTGCCCAGCTACGCGGGTGTTCACAGACCCCTGTTGGCCTTCAGACAGGTCAGCTCACCCTGCTGCTACCCAGAAAAGCAAGCAGCCTTTCATCCCTTCCTCCCGTGTTTTGTAACATGTAACTCCTGTTAGTGCTCCATGGCCACTGGGGAAATATGATCTGGCTCAGCCTCCCCGTCCTCATTCCTGGCTCCAGAACGGGGCTTTCAGAGACCCTTCCGCTTTCTCGGCCTGCTGGACCCTGGGACTTCTCCCCTGGCCTTCTGGATCTGACAGTCCTTCTGTTCCGGGTGTGGAAAAAACCAGCGGCCCCTGGCCCGGAGGTCACTTCCGGGCCATGCAGATGAGGCAGTGTCTGGATTCAGTGTGGGGAGGGACAGCTAGGGCGGGGCCACCACAGGCCACAAGCTCACTCCAGTTCCGGCGCTGCCTCGGTTGTCCTGTCTGTGAGGGTCACGGCTAAGGTCATTACAAAGCCTGGACAGGAAAGATGCCAAGTGCCTGGTACGTGCATTGAGGCGTCTGTTGTTAGTGTCATACTAAGTAAGGCACCAAATGATGCCCTGTTAGGAAAGAAAGCTGGGCACGGTGGGCACGCCTGTTATTCCAGCACTTGGAGAGGCTGAGGCAGGAGGATAGCCAGGAGCTTGAGGCTGGCCTGAACCTAGTGTGACCCTGTCTCAAAAAAACAAGAAGAAAGCAAAGGGGGTGGGAGAGGAAGAAACAAACAGGAACATAACTTGTAAATCTGCAAATTCTTCTCTGTTACGCCCTCAGCAGTGGCTGGGTTTTGTCCTCATCTGGGTGAGGGTCTGCGTGCTGGACGCATATTCCTATGTAAAAGCCAAGGATTCCACGCCTGCTAACATGGAAATTAGTTTACACGGTTCCATTATAGAACTAGGGAGACAGCCATTGTCATCTTTTCAGTAAAGGCTCCCAAAAATTGTTTATAAAAGCATCCGGAAAGCTTAGAGGGAGAAACACCCAGAAAAACAGAAATGACAAGGGAGGGTGAACACATAGCCAGCGCGACCTGCCCAGTTCTGTGCCAGGCACTACTAGCAATAAAGCAGCAGGAAAGTGGACAGATGTTCACTGGGGAGATGGCACAGGTCGGCCACAGTGGGTCTGCTACAGGGCCTGGTCAAGATGCTGGGAACCCAGCTTTTTCTTTGTATACCTGGATATCTGTCTGTCTGTCTGTGCCTCTGTCTCTGTCTCTCCCACATGGAGGACTGAGGCCACCCCACACACACACACACTCACACACCCTGGAGTTTCCAAGTCACCCTTGGGTCCGGCTCAGAGCAGGACGTGGCTCTCCGGGTCCCGGTCCCATGTTCCCAGAAGGACACGATTCAAGGCAAGGTTAAGTTACCCGCCCCATGCAGTGCCTGGGGGCAGGAGAGCTGGGGACACTGTTCCGGGGAGCACATTCTCCACAGAGAGAACCCTCTCGAAAACATTTGGGGGCACTTAGTGACCCCAGAGCTGTCCCTACTCAGAGGAATCAAGGCGAGACACACCTAAACTCATCAGAGGTCAGGCAATCAAGAGGTGACCCACGTGGCTTTTCTGTCTGTGTGATGTTTTGCTTTCTGAAGGCCTTGGTTGTGCTCGTGACCAATACATGGCCCTGCAAGGTTGCCTGGACCAAGAGAGCACATATGTGGCTGTGGGTGAGGGTAGGGCAGGCAGTGACCCTCAGAAGGTTCTGGAGGGGTCAGTGCCAAAATGTGTCCACTGCACACCATTCTCTTGGGACCCCTTCTGGAAAAACCAAGACAGTGTGTAGAGCTTACTGCCTCAGTGTCTTTATGGGGAACTCACTGTCTAATAAGCCTTTCCCCTCTTCCTCCTCCTCTTCCTCTGTCTCTTCCTTCTCCTGTTCTTTCTTTGTTTCTCTTTAGTCTTGATACTAACAGTTATTTAGCACTCGGGAGGCTGAGGTAGGAGGATCATTGGAAGTTCGAGACAAGCCTGGGCTACAAGTGAGCCCAAAGCCAGCCCAAACTGCATAGTAAGAACCTGTCTCAAAAAGAGAAAAAAACAAAAAACAAACCATTTGTCATGTATTCTGGGGTGTTGGGTTTGTTTCTGGTGGTCTCCCCAAAGCCTCATATACCCCAAGGTGGGCTTGTGGAGGAGGACTAGACTGTGGGACAGGACAGCCAGCTTGTTGTTGGGAGGTGTGGGGCCTGGCTGGAAGACACAGGTCACTGAAGACCTGGCCTGGAAGGGTTTCTCTTCCTTCCCAGTTATCTCTTGGCTTCCTGTCCACTATGCTGTGAGCAGCGGCCCCTGCCATGCCCCTGCCTTTCTGCCCTGGAGCCAGCTCACTGCAGACTGAAACAGGAACCCAAACAAAAATCTCCTTCCTTAAACTGCAGATACTGTGTCTCTGCAATGAGAAAGGGACACAGACACAGAGTTTGGATTTTTTTCCACATCCAAGAAGACTGAGTAACATGGTTAATTTATTTTGCATTTAAAATCTATCCCAGAGTCACTGACTTTCACAAACAAAAATTAGAGCTTCCAGGTCATTCTTACTGGCTTCCAACATGTACAGAACTTCCTTCTGTAGAAACTTCTGAAGAAGTGTCCTAGCCTGGCTTGAACATTTTCAGGCACATTTTTGTAATAACTCGGACCCCGGTATAAAATCCAAGGAAGCAAGAGACTGAAATTTGGGAAGCAAAGGCTTTATTTCCAGGCCTGGTGACGAGTCTCTGGGAGCCAGTTTGGAGACTGCGTGCCAGAGACTGAAGGGAGGACTTTAAAAAGAGGCTGGAGGAAAAAGCGGGGAGAAACAAAGAAACCTGCAGAGCCATCAAACTTGTTGACCCGAATCTGGAAACTGTATAGCTGTCCACTTAGTTCTGACAACCTCTGGAGCCTTTGGTGCCTTTTGAGTTACTCCCATCCTGCAGATAAGAATTATCTGCAATAACATTTGGAGAAGCCAGTAGAAAGCTAATTATCTCAGGACAGCTTGTTAACACTAACAGGTGGGAAGGGGTCGAAAGTTACAAGAAGCTGAAACTTAAGGCTTCACAAGGATTTGGAACTTATTAGGGTTAAGCCACAACATTTTCCTGTAATTTCTTTAAAGCTAAGGCACATTTTATGACACCACCGGGTCAGGAAGAGGTCACCAGAAACCCAAAATCTTTATGGCCTAGCTTAGATAGATAGGTAAGGGGAGAGGGAGGCAATAAGGGACCATACAGAACAGAAAACGGCGGTTATGTTTATCTATCTTTCTGGGGAGAGGGACCAAGGTCAGGTAAAGGGTTAAGCTAATACTCAAATCTCCCTGCACACAAACAAGTTACTTCAAACAAGTGTAAATTAGAGGGCCATCCTAGTTTTCTTTAGCTCTTTAGCGGAGAATAGAGGCGCCTAACAGTGATTAACAACCCTTATTAGCTTGTTTTCACACCACTTCTGTTGTTTGTAGAGGGCAACTCTGGTTAACATATCAATTAGGTAAGATTTTACAATTCTTTACCGAGAAGAGCATTGATTAACACATCAATTAGGTCATCCAAAGGGAAAAGGAAAACACATACAGTAAGCCCGCGTTACAAGTTTTGTTATAATACACATATAACGAAGCTATTTTTTTCCTAGAGTACAACAATTTTCAGCTCGTTTTGAAGAATCTCTTAGAGCCCTTCCCCAGCATACGGAAGGACCTGGGTCCAATCCCCAGTACTACAAAGTTAAATAATAGAAGTTTTATTTTGGCTCACAGTTAAGGAGGGTTCCATCCATGTGATGTTGGTGTTTTCTCTGGACCTGGGATGACAGAACACATGGGTCAGATCCTAACTGCTCCTCTGGCAGCCAGGAAGTAAAGGAAGACTGGGGTCCAGTCACTCCAAGGGCACACAGCCCCGACTGTAGGACCTCCCACCAGGCTCCTGCTCCTCTTAAAGGTTCCACCACCTTCCAGCACAGACCCCACACACAGCCCGGGACCAAGCCTTAACACACAGGCCTTTGGGCACACCCTCCTTTCAGTCAGTGCCCCCACCATTTGCGCGATTATTAGAATCCACGACCGAAGCGCAGTCCTCCCACCCATGCCTTTCAGATTCCTGTAATATTTGCTCATGAGAAAAGGAACCCTGAAACGTGCTGCCGACTAGAGAAGGAAACCTTAGTGTGGCAACTGACATCCTTTCCTGTTGCTGATGTACACTACAGACGTGTTCCCCACTGCTGGCAGGGCTGGCGTCTAAGCTGTGTCCATCTCCTTTCTCCTGGGATTCACAGACGTAGGGAAACTTGAAGATGCCCAGAACAGACTTGCTATCAAACAGCTCATCCGAGAGATCGGGGAGCCTCGCAATTACGGTCTGACCGAGGAGGAGAAGGCAGAGCTGGAGCTGAAGGCTGCAGAGGCGCGGTTGGCCAAGGAGGCTGCAGAAGAGGCGGCACGGGAGCAGAAGGAGGCTGCAGAGGCCGCGGAGAGGATGGCTCGCTGGGAGGAGTGGGTGAGTGCAGGAGCAGCTCAGGGAGGGGAGGCTGGCAGCGCCCTGCCCCCTGCCTTCCCCACCCCACTATAGGGAGCAGACACAGATGCCCCGACAGGTTGTTTGTTAGGGTGGTTGTTAGGTTTTCTGCCATGTGTAGCATCTTTTAAAAATCACCCATGGTCTATGCTTAGCATTAATTAATATAATTTTAAAAACTGCCGCCCATGGGTGGAATTGACACACATCATGTAACTGTATAGCGTTCTCTGTGTTGGCTTGTGATTGACACACCTTCCTGTGTTTATTTAAACACCACACCTCTGTGCATCCCACTGTCCTTGTGCCCCAGATCACAATGTCTAGTAAGTGATTCTGCTCCCCAGAACAGCGCTGTTACATCCACAGCTCTCCGCCTCTCTGGACCAGGGTCAGTGTTTCTTACCAGAAATGTGCAACCCTGTAGGGTGTTGGTGGGTGCCTGTACTCCTGGCACCCAGGAGACTGAGAGAGGCAGGAGGATGGCTGCGCCAGCCTGGCTACATAGTGAGACCCATCTCCAAAACACCAGAAACAAAGAATGAGCCAGTACCCTCCTGCTGCAGTCGCCAGCTCTGCCCCATCCATCTCCAGTCTGTCCCCATGCTGCTGCCAGGGACTCCTTCTAAAAGGCAAATCCACCATGGTCGTCTCTGTTTAAAGCTCTTCCCACATCACGGGGCTCCATTAGGGAAACGTTCGCCTGCCTTCCCGTGGCCCATGAGCTCCTGTGTGACCTGGCAGCTCTCCAAGTTTACAGTGTGATGTTTTCCTTCTCCACCTCACATGTTTTTTTTTTTCTTCTTGTTTTGTTTTATTTTGTTTTGTTTCTGGGACAGGGTCTTACCATACAGTTCAGGCTGCCCTGGAACTCATGGTGACCCTCTTGGCTCCACCCCCGAGAGCTATGATTACAGGTGTGTGAGCTACGAAATCAGGTGTGCACCACCACAGCCAGCCTCCTCACATCTGCTCTCTTGAGGCTGTCTCTGGTTTCCATATGTAAATTTTCAACTCTGGACCCTACCCACATGTTCACCCCTTTATACTTTTTAGCTTTCCTCTTTGCACTCATTTTAGCACACTTTGTATATTTATCTTGTTTCTTGCCTTCTCCTGGCACAGAATTTAAGTTATATGAGTAGAAGGATCTCTGTTTGTGCTGACCACCACTGTATTTTCAATGCCTGGAGTAGTGCCTGACATGTAACAGGCACTCATTAAATATCATGGAAAGGGAAGAAGAAGGGATGTTCTCATGCACACGTATTTTAATGACTGGTTAATCTCCTTAGCATAAATTCCTAATGCGTGATGGATCAGAGTAGACATTTTGATATATATTTCAAAACTACCCTCTACCAGTTCATGTGTAACTCAGTTCATATCTCATTTAGCTGTTCCCCTAACTTCCTCTCACTCTGGTTTCTCAATTTAGCTGAAAAAAACTAATCTTAAGCCAGGCTTGGTGGCATACACTTGTAACCCCAGGACTTGAGAGGCTGAGGCAGGAGGATCATTGCAGGTTAGACAGCCTGGGCTAAAGAGTGAGCTCAAGGCCAGCCTGCACTGCATAGCGAGACCCTGTCTCAACGAGGCAAAAACAAACAAACAAACCTAACCTCATTGTATTCATGTTCATCTCTCTGATCACTGATGTGACAACATTTTTAGATTTGTTGGAAATTTAAATTTCATCACAGGTTGCCCATCTCCTCTGTCTGTGCTAGGCCGTGTGTCTTTTCCTTATTTTGTAAGAAGAGCTCATGATAAGTAAGTTAAGAGAAACAGGAGTTGCCTCACTTGATTTGCCAAGTGTTGCTGGAGTCCAGATCCCATGTCGCTCTCCGTGGCGGTTCGGCCTGCCCACGTTGCTCTTTGGATGGTTTTCTCCAACATAAAGTGAGGGTGTGATAGTTCCTACAACTCAGAGTCATCATGGAGACTAGTGCCTGGTAAATAGTGTGCTCTTACACATCTTTATACTATCCTTGTTTTTTAGGATGGGTTGCAAATAGTTTTCCTCAATTCGTCATTCATAGCTCTCTGTTAATTTTTTTTTTAATCGTTACTGGGGATCAAACTCACGACCATGCACTTGCAAGGCAGACGCTTATGCCACTAAGCTAAATCCCCCGCCCTTCTCTCTGTTGACTTGAGACAGGGTCTTGGTCGGTAGCCCAGCAAGAGAGCAGACTCAGGTATCAAAACGGGGGAAGATGGGTGGATTTGACGACACAGAAGCATAAAGCTTTTGTTTGGTCATGGAAAACACCATTGATGTTATTGTTGTTGTTTGCTTGTTTGAGACAGGTACTCACTGGGTAGTTTAACCGGGCCTCAAACTCACAGTGATTCTCCTGCCTCTGCCTCTGGTGGTACACATCTGTAATCCCAGCAGTTGGGAGCCTGCGGCAGGAGGATCTCTTTTCAAACAAATAATAGGACTTTTTTTTTTTTTTGCTCAGTCTTCAAAGTTAAGTAATAGGACTCTATCTTGCAAGTTACAGAAAAAGCAAACTGAAGATATCATAGACATAAAGAACATTTAGCAGTGCAAGGGGAAGGGCTGGCTCCGGATGAGGCTCAGTTAGGGCCTCAGACATCACCAGGGGCCCAGAATCCTCCTCTGTTCCACCTCCCGCAGTTGTCTTTGTCTTGCTGTGCTCACCCTGAACTCATGTCCAGGGCCCTTAGCACAGCCTACGAGCTTTCTAGAACACTTCCTTCCTTCCTTCCACTCTTTTTTTTTTTTTTTTTTGGTCTTTTTGAGACAGGATCTCACTATGCAGTTCAGGCTGGTCTTGAGCTTACTCTGTAGCCCAGGCTGGTCTCGAACTCGCAACGATCCTCCTGCCTCAGCCTCCCGAGTGCTGGGATTACAGGCATGAGCCACCACGCCCGGCTCCTTCCTTCCACTCTTTCTTTCCTTCACTCGAGCAGCAAAAAATTATTTGTGTATAAGAAGTTATCCAAGCTGAGCATGGTGCACGGGTAGGTGACGTGCTCCTGGAATCCTAGCACTGGCAAGCTGAGGCAGGAGGATCAAAAGTTCAAGTCCAGCCTGGGCAACTCAGTGGCTTAGAAAGATCCTGCATCAAAAAGTAAAATGCTCAGTACAAAGAACCTGTTTTCAATACCCACTATTGGGGAGGAAAATTCAATCTATAGAAGGATACACATCTATGATCCCAGCAATGCGGAGGCTGAGGCAGAAGAATTGCAAGTTCAGGGTCAGCCTGGACCACATAGAAGTTCTAAGTTCAAGGCTGGTGTGAACTAACGGTGAAACCCGGCCTTTAAAAAAAGATAAATAAATAAATAAAAAGTGCACATGTATAATCCCAAAACTCAGGAGGCTGAGGCAGGAGGATCTCTGTGAGTTTGAGGCCGTCCTGGGCTACATAGTGAGTTCAAGGTCAGCCTGAACTGTGTAGGGAGACGACACCCCCCCCCCCCCCCCCCCCGTCTCTGAAAAAAAAAAAAACGCTGGGGGCAGTTGTAAACATGTTCTCCCCTTTCTGACTGTAACTGTAACCCGATATGTTGCATTCATAGAACAAACAACTAGAGGAAGTGAAGAGAGAAGAGAGAGAGTTACTGGAGGCTCAGTCCACCCCGCTGAGGAACTACTTAATCACCCACGTCATGCCGACGCTCCTGCAAGGGCTCAATGAGTGCTGTAAAATTAGGCCGGATGATCCTGTTGATTTTCTGGTAAGAGATTTAATTTTTTTTTTTTTTTTTGTCTTTTTCATTTTTATCGGTACCGGGGATCAAACTCACGGCTGCCTGCTTGCAAGGCAGGCACTTATGCCGCTGAGCTAAATCCCCAGCCCCCTGAGATTTAATTTTTTTAAATATTGATTTGAAAATAAAATACGCCTTCACGTTAGCAGAAAGCTTGGTGAGACAGAGAAACCATCTGGTTATCTGGGAAATAGCTTCTAATCCATTTACAGTCTGCAGCAAGATTTCCCCTCCTCCTCCTCTGCCTTCTCTTTCTCTTCTTCCTCCTCCTCCTCGTTCCTCCTCTCTCCCGCTTTCCCACATATCCCTATATGGTATGACTGTTATTATTATTCATTTGGAAGCTTTATTTATGTATTTTGCATGTTTGTTTTTTGAGACATGGTCTCGCCATGTAGTTCAGGCTGGCCTTGAGTTCACTCTGTAGCTCAGGCTGGCCTCAAACTCACAGCAATCCTCCTGCCTCAGCCTCCCGAGTGCTGGGACTACAGGTGTGCACCACCATGCCCAGCTATTTATGTATTTTAATTTTTTAAAATATGGTGTATGTTTATATTTTGTAGTGTGTGTGTGTGTGTGTGTGTGTGTGTGTGTGTGTGTGCAGAGACTGAACCGAGGAAGTGCTCCATCAATAAAGAACAAAATACAAGCTCACAGGAAGTAGGGGTATAGACCTTTCTCAAGGGGAAAGGCGATCAAGAAATGGAGAGAGGGTGAGGGAGGGGCTGAGAGGAGTGGGAAAAGGAGGGGAGTCGGGTTATTGCAGGTACCAGCTCCATACAAGTAGTGTAAACGTTACGTGCTACAACCACGTTCTCATAAAAAAAAAAAAAAAGTGCTCTCCCATGAAGCTGCAGCCCCAGCCCGTGTTCTTAATTATAAACGTGCCATGTACCTGCAGCACTCTGAGCATCTCCCAGCCTGGTCAGCTTAGAGATTTAGCAAGACCCACTTTCAAAATTAGTAGTAAAATGGGCTGGGGTAGCCCAGTGGCAGAGCACTTCTGAGTTTGATCCTCAGTACAAAAAAAAAAAAAAAGACTAATAATAAATGCTTTGTTAACTGTTTACATTTTTTCCTTTTAATTGTAGGCAGAGTATCTTTTCAAGAACAATCCTGAAACGCAGTAAAACTTTGAAGACCTTGTGTCCTGTAACTTCAGGATAGGACATCAAGTTAACATTGTCATTGAAAAACTCCCTTTCAAGTTTATTTCCCAGATTTTGAAATTTTTTTCCCTGTAAGTAAATATTTTATAAAGTAGAACCACTATAAAAATCAGTATGGCAATAGCTGAGTACTTTGTTAAAACTTTCTTTGAAAAGAGATGAGCAGCACATCTGTGCCCAGCCCACAGCAAAACAGATTTAATGTTTCATCCTCAGGTCTGTTCTAGTATTGTGCCTCTGCATATTCATATGTATAGTAATTTGATTTACAGACTATAGAATCCTATTACCCTAGTATGGAGGCTAATGATTTTGCACAACTGGTTATGACCCAATGTCCAATAGTGTTAGAGACAGTAATAAATCAGAATGGTTTGTCTATTGAGCCAATTTGTCAGATAAGATTGGTTTTTGCAAGGCTGCTTTTGAGTTTAAAGTCAGCATTCCAACCAGTGGGTCAGAGAGAAATACAAACCTTGCAGTGGAAAGATGCAAGTGGGTATACATGAATACTAACACTCGTTCTCAAAATTAAAAAATTTAAATAGGACTGAGGATGTAGCTCAGTGCAAAAGCCCTGGGTTTGATCCTCAGTACAAAAGAAGAAAAAAAGCTGCTGAAAATTTTTAACAAGCTCTGTGATGTAGGCATAAGCTATCAACTTGTATGGTATTTTCTTGCTTTTAAAAAACTCACATATCACACACCTGTAACACCAGCACTTGGGAGGCTGAGGCAGGAGGACAGACCTGAGTTAGAGGCCAGCCTAAGCTACATAGTGAGCCCCAGCCTGAACTGCACAATGAGACCCTGCCTCAAAATAAATTATCCATGAAGCTTCTAGCAGTACCCTGAATGAGAAATTAGGTTTATTGTAATGGCACACTCATTTCAGCTCTTTAAATAACATAAACTTAAATAGAGCCCCGTTTAGTGGTAAGATGGATTTAACATGAATCAGCGTAACCATTTTAAAGTGTGTTTTTCATGGTGCTGACCTCACCCGCCATGATCTGGTGGCACAGGAAACTGCAGGCTCATCAGGGGTCACCCTGTGAGCCCTCTCCCCACTCACGGCAGCCACCACCCTCACCGGCTGCCTGTAGGGATTTGCCCATCACGCTTCTCTGTATAAACGGAATCGCGCGGTACACAGCCTCATGCCTGCTCTCTCCCCCTTGGCGCGGTGTTTTCAAAGCTCAAGCTAGAGCACATACTCGTTACTTCATTGGCTTTTGTTTTTTTGGGTGCCGGTGACTGAATCCAGCGCCTCTCACTTCAGGCAAAAACATTACCACAGAGCGACATCCTGTTTTTAACCAGTACTGGGGTTCAACACAGGACCTCTTTACAAAGCTGCATTCCCACCCCGCCCCTCTTTGGCAAGGTTTGGTACCCAGCCCAGGCTGGCTTCAAACTCCTGGACCTCCCGCCTGAGGCTCCCAAGTGCTGTGATTCTAAGCATGGACCACGGTGCTCAGACTTTGTTCCTTGTAATCACTGAACGACCTTCATTTCATCTAATCCTTCATTCGCTGAGGGGTGTGGGTTTGTGTTGGCCTCTGTCCCTGGGTTTAAGGGGACAGGGCCTATGCTGGGTGCTCACCTGATGGCAGGTGGACACAGCGAGGGAGTCATTCCTGCCGGAGCACCGTCCCCAGAGCTCACTCAGCTCAGAGTCCCTAAGCGAATGAATCCGCTGAGCATCATTCTGTCCCTAAGGGCTCCTAAACAGTCCTGTTGCATCAGGAACCAAACATTCAACTGTAGAGCTTTTGGGAGACATTTGGGCTCTAACTCACAACAGAGTCCTTTTTGCCTTCTGGCTACTGTGAGCAGAACTGCCACGAACAGGCGCGCATGAGTTCTCGTGTTAACACTTGTTGTGGATTGTACGCATGGGTATTAGGACTGGCACTGAGGACAGCAGCAATGCTGGTGAACCTCCCAAGGAGCCGCCAAACTGCCTCCCAGAGCTGGTGGCACTTCACACTCCCTCAGCAACAGAGGGACGGCTATGGTTCTCACCAGCTGTTAACAGTTTGTTCCTGGAAGCTCTGTTATGAAGTGGGAAGGTTACTGGGGGCATGCTGTCCCCAGCCCCCTATCTCTCCTGCTCTCCTTCCTGTTAACTTTTGCTCCGCCACACCCTTTGACCACCGGAGTGCTGCCTCAGGACAGGCTGAGGAACTCTGCAGCCAGCCAGCCAGGGACTGAGCCGCTCAAACTGTGAGCCAGAACAACTCTCTTCCCTTTACATTGATTTTCTCAGATTCGTTGTCACAGTGTGGTCAAACTAACACACCAACTTGTTTGACTGACTGGTTGACTGAGATGCTGGGTTTGAAATGAGCTTCACCCACACCGCCCCACCCCACTTCCTAGGCTGAATTTGCACTTGCAGTACTGTGGCTCAGCCACTCAGTGTGGGATTCCAGTCCCACACCGCCATGCTCACTCAATCCTTGTATCTTAATAGAAAATACAAACAAAAGAAAAAAGAACATCAATTGTTTTAAATTAATTTTTGCCCCAGGCAGGCAAGGTATATGCTTTCCTGCTGAGCTACACCCTGCCCCTTCGTCGGGTAATTTTGTCAAAAATGTAACAAGTTCTGAACCAGGAGTGATGGCACACATCCTACTCTCAGCACAATGGCAAACTGAGAGAAAAGGATCACAGTGGAGTGCAGCTAGGTCGATCTGCTGAAGCACTGCCTATAAATAATAAAGTCCGGGGATGGATTTCGGTGTGAACAGCCCGGGGACCAAGCCCCATGACACCAACTATATAAATATATATGGCACGGGAGAGAGGGAGAGAGATTAGAGTTTCAGCTTTCCGATTCCTTTCGAAACCTGCCCCTCAGGATCTGTTTCATGTATACTGAAGAACGGACTCCTCCTGGATATGAATGCAGTGGTCCATAACATGAAAGGGGGCTGTCTTCCCAAAAGCACTGAGCCCCTTTGCTCTTTGGTACAGTGCCGAGTAAAATGACACTCATAAGCGAGCAGTAGAAAACATCTGAATTCACTGCAAAACAGCAACTTAGGGATTTCTAGCAAAAGAATATGCAGGTACTATCACCTACTCTCGTTTAGGTCTTGATCTGGCTTTAAAAGTATTTTTCTATTAATGTCAGCAACTGTGGCTTCTGCCATATATAGAACGAGTGAAAACACCCTAATTCAAAACCCGTATAGAAATCAAAGCATAATTATGACATTATCCTTTTGCTAACGAAAGCATGCTTTATATAACTTGTAACTTTAGGTGGGACAAGCTGCATTCTGAGACTCGTGGGTTACAGAAAATAGTATTTACTGTCATCATCCCTTTTCTTGCTGGTACCCGATACCGACATCCGGCCTCGGGACAGCTCTGAGATGGCCTTCCTCCTGGAGAACGCCAGCATTTCCTCCTCCAAGGCTCGCCTCCTCTCCTCCAGTCTCAGGGTCTCCTTGTGCTGCAAGCGCTCCAGGTGCTCGAACCTGGCCTGCAGCTGCCCCTTGGCCTGCTTCAGCACAGCCTCCTTCTCCTTCACCCGCTGGGCGAACGCCTGCTTCAGCTCCCGCTCCTTCCTGTGACAGGCATCCTGGAACTCGCGCCTGCGCGCCGCGGCCACGTCCACCCCCGCAGGGCCAGGGCCCGCTGCGGCCCAGCCCAGCTCCCGCAGCCTTCGCCGCCGGTACAGCTCATAGTGCCGCACGTGGGTCTGCTCCCGCAGATCCTCCATGTTGGTGCACACCAGCATCTCGCGCAGCTTCACGAAGTCGCAGTGCGCCTCGTTCTCCACCTCCACCGTGCCCCAGCAGTACTGCCGCCCGCGCACCAGCCGGCAGCCCACGCGCACCTCGTCAGTGCTGCCCACCACGGCGAAGGGTAGCTGCTCGTTCATGGCCGCGTTGAGCCTGGCCGTGGCCTCGTCGTCCGTGGGAAAGCGGTAGATGCGCACACCCTGGCTGGCCAGCTCGTCCATGATGCGCGCCTTGAAGCTCTGCAGCTCGTCCTTGGACAGCGCATCGGCCTTGGCCACCAGCGGGATCACGTTCACCCTGCTGCTCAGGCTCCTCAGGGTGCACAGGTCCAGAGCCTTGAGGGAGTGGCCGGTGGGCGCCAGGAAGTAGAGGCAGGCGTGCAGCCGCGTGTCGGCCCTGGGGCTTTGCGGCGCGCGGGGCGCGCGCAGCTCCTCCTGCAGGAAGGCCTCCAACTGCGCGTCGATGTAGGCGGCGATGGGCCTGTGGCAGTCCTCCCTGTCCACCTGGTCCCCGAAGCCCACGGTGCTCACCACGGTCAGCGTCAGCGACACGTGGCTCTCGCGCAGCTCGCGCGTCTCAGCGCGCAGCCCCACGGCGGGGCAGAAGTGCGAGACGCGGGCGCTGTCGGGTGAGCCGTTGAAGAGCGTGGCCACCAGCGTGGACTTGCCCAGGCCCGTCTCCCCGACGCACAGCAGGTTGAAGCGGAAGCCCTGCCGCACGCGCCTGTCCACCAGCTGCTCTGGCAGCGTGTCCAGCCCGACGTAGTCGCTGGGCGTCAGGCAACGCACAGCCTCCGCCTTGCTGCAGTCGTCGGACTCGGGCTCGGGCTCTGGCTCGGGCTCTGGCTCTGGCTCGGGGTCGGAGTCACAATCGCAATCGCAACCGGCAGAGTCGCTGTCGGACCCCTGCCAGGCCTGGGAAGGCTCCTCTGTGTCCCTAAGGGGGTGAGCGGAGGGATTCCGGATCTCCGCATAGTGGGCCATGGTGTTGGGGGCCGGGCCGGGGGCAGTGGGCGGGGCCGCCGTTACTAGGTGGAGCCGCCGTCGGTGGGCGGGGCCACCGTCCGTGGGCGGAGCCTCTGTTAGCGGACTTGGGTGGGCCACAGTGGGCAAGCAGGGCGAGAAGGAGAGAGAGCGTTCTGCGGGCTGTATGTCGCTAGGCATCTGCAGGCATTGCTCTCAGTATTCCTTTCATCCTAATACTAGTTTGAATTAGACTCTAAGCTCATTTGATTTTCTGCGTAAAGGAGATTGAACTCAGTGCCTCTCACTGAGCTCCATCTCCAGCTCTGTTTAGTTTTTAATCTTGACACAGGATCGTAGTAAACTGCTCAGCTTTGTGTCGAACTCGCAAACCTCTTAGCTCAGTCTTCCTAATAACTGGGAACAGTTTGCTTTTTATTGCTGCTGCTGGTGTGTTTTGTTGTGTTTGTTGTTTTGTTTTGTTTTGTGTGTGTGTGTGACTTTTGGGGGGGGCAGTACTGGGGATGGCCTCACACAGGTTAGGCAAGCACTCCATCTCTAAGCTACATCCCCATTCCTTTTTATTTCTGAATCCGGCGTCAGTGCTGTCCTAGCTGGACAACGAGCTCATGATCCTCCAGCCTCAGCTCGCAAGGAGCTGAGATCGCAGGTCTGTGCCACCAACCCCAATGACATCAGTAATCTTTGTGGGAGTTATGCTGCCATGCTTCTTACTTCACTGAAAAAATATTCAACCAACTGAACCTTTTACAGCCTCCCCCTGCAAAGCTACTTGTTTTTGCCTCTACGGATAGAGAGAACCTTGCTCCCGTTTAAGGGCAGCAATTCAGCTTGTTCCTTGGAGCCTGGCTATTGGCACATCATGAAATTCTACCCCCACTCCCCCAAGATGTCCCTTCTCTCCCATAGCATAATTTTCCTCCTCTGGATCTTCAGCCGTAGCTTTAAAATGGCTTCTGTACTTCAAAACCACAAAATGAAATGCAAAAACTGTCATAGAGCCTCACATCTTTCTCCAGCTATGGTTCCACTAATCTGCTCCCCTTTCTAGCAAGCTTTCTACTGAGCCCCAGTTTCCAAAGTTAGTGGTCAGTCTACCTCAGCCTTTCAGAGCGCTGGACACAGTTGATCTTGTCCTGCTTGAATCACATCCTCCTGTCCACCTCCGGGTCTAACTGGATCGCATGGCCAGACCGTTTCTGACCACCCTGGCCACCCCTTCTCGGGCCACTCCTTTCCTCTCCCATTCCCAGTTACTGGCAGCTCCATCATCCCAACTGCTCAGGTCAAAGGATGACTTGAAGTCACCCACGACTTTCTCTTTGTCTCCTCCATTGTATTTAGTTCTCTGGTCAACATGGACCCCAGGTATGTGAGTCTCTTGTGCTCCTGACCCTTCCCGCCCCGGGCCAGGTCACCACGGTGTTCACCCCATTGCAGCTGCAGCCTCCCTCGCCCCGTTTCTTTCCACGACGACTCTCTGAACCTCAGCCAGAAGAATCCTCGCTTGCTTCTGTTGTTGACGGTCCTGGAGCTTGAATTCAGGGCCTTGGGCACAGAGGAAATCTTGTTAAAACAGAAACCAGGTCAGCTCCAAGGCCTCCAAGGCCTCCTCAGCTTGCTTGGGAGTAGAAGGCAAAGTCCTGACCTGGGCCTGTGGCACCCGGGTCTATAAGAAACCTTGTGACCTCGCTGCACCCCTCCGCTCCCCTCACTCCTCCCTGCCAAGTGCACTTTGGGGACCTTTGCTGGAACACTCTGCCTACTCAGATCCCAAAGGCTTCCTCTCACTTCGTCCACATTCAGCTCCCCCTAGAAGCGCCTCCCGACGGCACCTGCTTCTTTCTTTTCCTCTGCTCATAGCCGACCTGAACTTGTCTCTCTCAGTCTCTACGGAGATCTCTAACAACAGTGAATAGAAAAACTGTCATCCTTTCTGGCTTCTTTACTGACCTTAGGTAGAAAATAATTTTCCATCCGCGTCAGTACCTGTGTCCACTGTTCAGGTATGGAATTAGTGATAGCACAAATACCAACAGAAAGAAAGCCAAAGCATATTTATACCATTTTACTTCTGTTAAATCAAAGCAAACTTAGAATATTACACTTGTTTGTGGAGCCCAGGCGCTCTCTGGAGCTTCTAGGTTCTGTTCCCACAACCATGTGCTGTGGATTTTCTTCCCATTGCTACTCAAGGCTGCTTCCTCCAACTGTCCACCTCCTCCAGTTCCTCCACCTCTTTGTGCCCATGGCACATTTTACAAGCATAGATGTCAAAGCACAGAATTTCGAATCGATAGCTTGGCTCCTCCGCAGGGTCCTTGACATTTTTCTTGCTGGTACCCAACATCCGGCCTCGGGACAGCTCCGAGATGGCCTTCCTCCTGGAGAACGCCAGCATTTCCTCCTCCAAGGCTCGCCTCCTCTCCTCCAGTCTCAGGGTCTCCTTGTGCTGCAAGCGCTCCAGGTGCTCGAAGCTGGCCTGCAGCTGCCCCTTGGCCTGCTTCAGCACAGCCTCCTCCTCCTTCACCCGCCTGGCGAACGCCTGCTTCAGCTCCCACTTCTTCCTGTGACATCGTCAGCGGGGCAGAAGTGCGAGACGCGGGCGCTGTCGGGTGGGCCGTTGAAGAGCAGGGCCAACAGCGTGGACTTGCTCAGGCCCGTCTCCCCGATGCACAGCAGCCTGAAGCGGAAGCCCTGCTGCATGTGCCTGTCTACCAGCTGCTCGGGCAGGCAGCGTATCCAGCCCGCCAGGCCTGGGAAGGAAGGCTCTTCTGTGTCCCCGAGGGGCTGAGCGCTGGATGTCAGATCTCCTCGTAGTGGGCCCTGGTGGTGGGGTGAAGGGGGGCAGTGGGCGGGGACCTTCGCTGTGGGCGGGGCTGGAAGGGCGTGGTCACAGCCATGGGGTGGGGCCCAGAGGGTAAGACGAGGAGCAACAGGGACAGTCTTGTGTACTTTACTACATCTCTGAACGTCCTGGCACATCACTTTTACCCACTTAACTGTACTCATTATTTTCAACTGTGCTTTTTTTTGGATTGGGATTAAACCCTGTTCCTCTCACTGATCTGTGTTTCCCAACCGTTTTAATTTTTTTAAACAAGTACTCGCTTTTTTTCTTTGACGCAAGATCTCTCTAAACACTGTCCATACTCAGCTCAAACTCGGCAAACCTCTCAGAGTGCTGGGATACAGACCGGTACACCAGGATGCCTGGATCCCAGGCCTTTCTAGTTCATTCTGAGACAAAGTCTAGCTAAATGTCTTAGGCTGGCCTGGAGCTTAGCTGCTCTTGGCTCCGCCTTCCAAGGTTCTGAGATTCCAGGCCCGTGCCACAGAGGCCAGCTGCTCTACATTATTTTGGGTCTGAATGCGGACAAAAGTTTAGCAAACATGGTTAATTTTACTAGGCTTCTATAAGTGAGAGTTCAGCAGATGGGTCTGGGGTGTAGCTCTGTGGCAACACACCTGCCCAGCTAGTGTGAGTCCCTAAGTTCAACTCTCAGCACCTCCCAAATAATTAGAAATTACATTTTTTCTTTTAAATCTTTAACACTATTTTGTTTGTTTGTTTCTGTTTTGTTTTGGTACCAGGGATCAAACTCATGACCTCGTGCTTGCAAAGCAGGTGCTTGTGCTGCTGAGCTAAATGCCGGCCTTTAACCCTATTTTGATGGGTTTCTGTAGTAAATTTAAAAAATTTTTTATTTAAGGAGAAAAAGGGAAAAAAAAAACAGAAAAAGGGTACAAGTTTACAGAATTACAGAAAAAATAAGCAGTAGGATTAATAGATTACATATTGTCATCTTAGAAATAGTTGTGCAAGTTACAAAATTAAAGCATATAGAGGGGACTTTCAAACAGTGAGACTGCAAACAGTTCAATGATCCAAAAAACTCAGTAATATGGTTATCTATCGTATACACTTAAATATACATGCAGTTACATCGTTTAGAGCACTTTCTTTTCCTCTCTTTTATACAATGACATTACACATTTTGGGTTTTATTACTTCCACAGTTTTTATTACTTTTTTTGAAGAGAATAAAAGCAAATGTGACATAACAAAACAGTCAAATCAAAAGGATGGACATAATACATACTGTAAAAACAAAATACAAGGTGATCAACAATGGTTACCATAATGCCTTTTGCTATCTTAAAAAGAATTGCCTATATCATCAGTTATAATAAAATTGAACCAAACAGTAAAGAATAAAACCAATAAAACCAAAACATTGGAGACATTACAGAACTTCAAAAGAAGATAATAGTCAAACCAGAATGGGCATCATAATGAATCTTATTGTCTTCACAGTTGCCTATACTCTGAAACTTGGTACTATCAAGCAAAACAGAATAGAGGAAATTCAGTCAAAACAAGATGGTGAGAGCAATACAGGGTTTCAAATCAAGTTAATAGGAAATCAAAGTGGGTTACTATAATATATCCTGATATTTTTTATTTTTTCCTTAATTAAAAAGATAAAAATAAAAAAGTAAATAATAAAAAAAGGAGATTGAGATAAAAGAGAACATAACAACAAAACAGCACAGGTCCAAACATAACCATTTAAGCAAAATAGTGTTTCACCACAAGATATCCCAACATAAAAGTAGTTATCATAGTGTCTCTTTTCTAGAAATCTTTGAGTATAAGTTCATGTACTGTAGCATCAAACATATCAAGACAACGTAAAACCATTCAAGAGAATGACAGTATTACAGGGTATTTAGAATCAACTAACAGAAAATGAACAATGGTTTCTGTATAATCTCCTTGTCTATAAAAGTTTTTGTTTATATTATCACATATAATAAAATCCAATAAGGTACAACATGTTAAGACTGACGGAGACAGAAGAACAAAAGCTTGACGGGACTTCAAAACAAGATGATATTAAATCAGCACTAGCTATTATGATGTCTTGCTTTCTCCAAAATAGCTGTTCTTACCGTCCAACCTTCTCTGCCTCATTTCTGTTGAGCTCTTTTTCTGTCATTAGTTGTCAGTTTGTCTTCTTCATTTTGCTTTCTGCTCCATTCATTGTGGCCTCTCTGCCACTATTTCTGGAATCTTGGTATTTTTCTTTTTTAGAATATCCTGCAGTAATCTCTGTAGAGTTGAATTGGTGGTTGCAAATTCCCCTAGTTCCTCTTTATCCTGGAAGCACCTTGTTTTTCCATCAATTTCTAGGGACAGTTTGTGCAGGATATATCAATCTTGGCTGGAAGTTATTATCTTTCAAAGCTTGAATTATTTCCCCCCACGCTCTCTGTGATTTGATGGTTTGTGCCAAGAAGTCTGCTATAATTCTGATGGGTGTTCCTTTGTAAGTGATCTGTTTCTTGTCTCTGATGGCTTTTAATATTCTGTTCTTATATTGGATTTCTGGAATTTTGATTATCTGCCTGAGTGTAGCTATGTTTGGGTTGTAGGTGGCTGGAGTCCTGTATGCCTCATACATCTGAGTATCTTTACCTTTTGCTAAATTAGGGAAATTCTCCTGGATTATTTCTGTGAATAGCCTTTGTAGTTCATTTGTTTGTGTCCCTACTTCTTTTTTTATGTTCTTAATTCTTAAGTTATAGATCCTCTTATCATCTTCTAGTCTTTGTATTATTGCTGTTTGTTTCCTTATTATTTTAAAGACGTTTTTCATTCCATGCTCCCACCTTACAAATCTGTCCTCCAGTCCAGATAATCTATCCTTAGTTTCTTTCAAGCTGTTATGCCAGCTTTCAATAGTTTTTAGTTTCTTGGTAATCTCTTTGAGCCTGCTTCATGTATTCTGTTTTCTCTATTTTCTCCATCAAACAATTCTCCCCTTTTTTTCTGTTCTTCCATTCCACCATCTGTTTTTTCTTGGGTGGTGCTTAGCATTTCTCTAACTATTCTACTTATATCTTGCTTTACTTCATTAAATACTTCACTTTTGAACTTGTCTATGAGGCTCCGGAGATACAGATTTATGTCTATTGGTGTTGTGCCTGATATTGCATGTTTTCTGTCCTCATTCTCCTTTGCATTTACCTTTCCTGGATCAGTGTTCTCAGAATTGGGGGCTGAGGACCCTTTCTTGTTACCTCCTCTTGTCATATTTTTTGTTCTTTCCATAAAGGCGTATATAGGAGGCCCAGTTTCTTTCTTTGCCGGTTACAGTTTGTTTGAATCGCGCTGGCTAGGTGTTCCCGCCCACTGCATTGTACTAGGGAGTCACAGACCTGGGAGGCCTCTGCTGGGCCCGCCCCTCCAGGTCAACCTACTGAAGGCTTCACTGCCAGGGTGCACTGCCAGGCATTGGGACCTGGTTTGGGCTAGCCTACTGGGTATTAGTCCACAGCGTCACCCAGGCCAAGTGCTCCCCACCAATCCCACTTGAGAGGGGAATATGCAACTAAAGTCATTGCAGCATCCTGTTCCCGCTAGTCTGTCCGGTCCCAGAATGTCCTCTGTTGGAGCCTGCTAGTCTAGGAAGGGTTCCTGTTCCTCTCACTCACCACAGGTTGATGCAGGGCTCCCCGCCAGTCCCACTTTCAACTCCATTTGCCGATTCCCACTCTCAGAGCTTTTGCGTTTCTATTCCTGTTATGTGGATTCAGACGCAGCAGTGGTGGCAGGAAATTCAAATTGTGGTTTCCAGAGGTGCGGGTTTCAGCTTCAGCACTGAGATTTTATCTGTTCCAGTTATAGCACCGGGACTGCATTTCCGGTTGGTTTCTCTCAGCTTAGTTCGTTCCTGGGTCGGCAGGGTGTATCTCCCCTTGCTTAGGACTCCTCACACCGCACCATTCCTGGATTCTAAGCTGGCTATCTCAGAGAGCCTCCATAGCTGCTGTTATCTATCCGCCATGTTCTCCTGAAGTCTCTATAGTAAAATTTTTGCCATTGTGTAGTGTCTACACCCAGGTAACACGAGCTGCTAATGTGAAAAGTCATTTTTGCCCTGTGTTGTAGCCTGGAAGACTGTTAGAAACCGTGGTAGACAGATGATGTAGGTGGCAGAAGGTTGGTGGCATTGCCTCTTCTGATTACCCAGTTGGTAATTCCAGAGCTCTCACAACTCCTTTTTTTTTTTTTTTTTTTTTTTTTGAGACAAGATCTCACTTTGTAGTTCAGGCTGATCTTTTGTTTTTTTGAGGCAGAATCTTGCCATGTAGTTCAGACTGGCCTTGAACTCACTATGTAACCTGGGCAGACCTTGAAATCTCAGTGATCCTCCTGCCTCAGCCTCCAAATCCTGGAATTATAGGCGTGAACCCAGCATGGATGATTTAATGACTTAGAAAGGCCCATCTCAAAATTTAAAAAATTGACTAAAAATGCAATTGAATGTAAAGGTACTAAGCTCAATCTCCCCAGTATCATAAAGGAAAGCAACAAAGAGAGAGACAGAACAAGGATAAAAAGTAGAGGGTGGGTCACATATGACCTTATGGACCATGGGAGAGGAACTGGATCTGATGCTTTATTCATAGGGAAGAACACGTCTCTAGCAGTAAAAATGCGTGATTTGGTTTAGAAAGCCGTTCCAGCTACAGTTCCAATCACAGGGCAGAGTGGAAGCTACAATAGTAGCCCCTGGACATTGATGCCATCTGTCCCTAAAGAAGCCGGGGAGAGGTGATGAGAAGTGGTAAGATTCACATTGGATTTGATGGGGAAAGAGTTAAGAACTTGCTAATAGGTTAGCTGTTGTGGTCCAGAAAAGGAGAGGAACAAGTTGCTGTGAAGTTTGTGACCCAAGCTGCTAGATGAAGAAATGCCCTTCACTGAGATGAAAACCAAGGACCAGATTTGTTGACTGTGTAACAGAGATGAGTTCATGATCCTGGCAAATACACTGAATAACAGAGCCTGGAATCCCAGCACTTGGGAGGCTGTAGCAGGAGGGTCACTGGGAATTCAAGGCCAGCCTGGTTTACATAGTGAGTTCCAGACTGGCCTGACCTACACAATGATACCCTATCTCAAAGAAACTAAAAAAAATTTAAATAAATAAAATAGCCAGGCATGGTGGTGCACACCTGTAATCCCAGGGAGTCAAGAGGCTGAGGTAGGAGGATTGCCATGAGTTCAAGGTCAGCCTGGACTATATAATGAGACTCTGTCTCAAAGAGTAAAAGAAAACATTAATTAATTAAAAGTCAAATGTCTCCTATCCCCAATTTTTATATTTGGAGGCAGGGCCTGGTTAGAGGGGGCAGATCACTGTGGGCATGACTTAAAAGGGTATTCTTGTCCCTGGATCCTCCCTTCTCTCTCTCTCTGCTGGCCACCATGACGGGAGCAGCTTTCTTTTGCCGCTGGGCCCTTCCACTATAACTTTTCTGCCCCAAACCAGCTAACCATGGACTGAGCCCACTGGACCTGTGAGTCAAAACAAACCTTTAAGTTGTGGGTGTTTAGTATTTTGTCTCACAGAGAAGAAAGTGACTTAAGACATAGGGGAATCACCCATTTAGAGTTGGTGTTTATACACTAGAGACTAGGTGAGCTCTCTAATCAAGTCAGGATAGAAAAGAGCACAGACGACTGTGCCTTGCTGCTCTTCAACATACATACTCATGGACAGGTAAGTGCAAGAAGTCTGTGTCCCATGCAAATATGGCCAAATGTCTCTGTGTGTCAGGTTCTGAGCTGCAAGTAACAGGAAACAACCGAGAACATTTTGGTTAAGAGTTTACTGAAACTCTTGAGTAGCTGATGCAATCATGAAGAAGTCTGGTGAATCAAGTTTAGAAAATGGGGAGAAAGCTGGGCATGGTGGCACACACCTGATATCCCAGCATTCAGGAGGCTGAGGTACAAGGATTGCTGCAAGTTCGCGGCCAGCTTGAACTGCAGAATAAGCCTAAAAAGGCAGAAACCACAGGAAACTAAGTATTTGAAACTGATTTATAATAGGTCTTTTCAATATATGATGCAGGTCAGTTGGAGATTCACATGTGTGCAAGTTCCTGAGTTCAATATCTACCACCCCACAACTCATCCTGATCTCTGTCTTACACTGTACTTTACTTAGTTTTATTTTTTTAAATATGAGGTCTTGCCATGGTCTCAAACGTTGGTCTCAAACTTGCGGGCTCAAGTGATCTTCCCACCTCAGCCTTCAGGTCACCTGAGACTACAGGTGTCCATTGTGGTGCCTGGTGAGCTAAAGATGACATTTAAAGACTGAGAAGAGGGGCTGGGTGTAGCTCGGTGCTTGGCTAACATATGCAAGGCTGTGAGTTTGATCCCTAGAACTGCAAAAAGAGAGAGAAAAAAAGACTGAGAAGTCTTACAATAGAAGATAATATTTAAATAATACATATATGTGCCAGAGGACTTATAGGCAGAATTTATAAAATATCTCTACAAGTCTGTAAGACTGACAACCTCATTTAAAAAGACAGGACACCCGAATAACAATTTCATCAAATGGAGTGTCTGAATGACTTACTAGCACGTTAAAAAGTATTCAGAATCATTAATCATCAGAGACAGGCAAATCACAACCGTTTATTTTTAGCTACTTGTCTACAACCATGCCAAGTAGCTAAAAATAAATGGACTGATAATACCAAGTTTTGGTAGGATGCGGACTGGAACCTACACATCGCTGGTGGGAGCCTGGCTTAGTATTATCACCTGGGAAAACCATTTGGGAGAACTTACGAAAGCTAAAAATGGGTGCACTGATGACCCAGCAATTCTACTCGTGAGTGTACAGTAGCCCCTCAGTTGTGGTTTCAATTATCACGATCAACAGTGCTTTGAAGATATTAAATGGAAAACTCCAAAAACAAACAATGTCTACGTGTTGTGTGCCATGCCGAGCAGCTGTATGAAATCTCATGCTGTCCCGCTCTGTCCAGCCTGAGCTGTGAACTGTGCTTTTGTCCAGAATATCCACACTCTATACCCTACCCAAACATTAGACACTTTGTTATCAAATTGGTATCGTAGTACTTGTGTTTAAGTAAATCTCTTATTTGGCTTTTTAAGACAGGGTTTTGTCAAATGTAGTGAGACATTTAAGCAGCAGGACCATTGGGGTCATGGCCTGGAAGGTGACAGTGGGAACCAGTCCCTTCCTCTCTTTCTTTCTCTTTTTGGATATGAGGTCTGTGAGGGGTTTGCTCTACCACACACTCCCGCCATGATGAGTACCACAGACCCAAAGCTGTGGGGCCAACTGACTGCAGACTGAAATCTGTAAAACTGCGGGGCAGAATAAATCTTTTTCATTCATACATTAACTATCCAGGTATTTGTTGCAGAAACAGAAAGCTGACTGCCACATTGTAAAGGAGGAGGAGTTTAACCTGGCTCAGGATTCCAGGGGATACAGTCCATGGTCAGCAGGCCCTAAGGCACAAACATCATGCAGAACAGAGATGCTCAGTTCATGATGACCGGGGAATGGAGCAGGTGCAGAGCATCAGACAGGAAGACACAGGGACCAGAATTAGACTCCTAAAGCTACGTCTCTACGATGTGCCCACACATGCCCTGTAGTTTTCAGTAGTGCTCTCTACCAGTCTCCTGGGCAGATTCTGGGGATTTAGCTTAGTGGCACAGCAGCATAAGTGCCTGCCTGGCAAGCATGGGGTCATGCGTCCAACCCCCATATCAAAAATAAATAAACACATAAAATAAATAAATAAAACCCAGTCAAGTTGGCACTTCACCCTACCTGCTATACAATGTTAGGCTCTGTACCATCTGAGGCGTCTGGCACTGACTGAGGGTCTTGGAATACCCCCTTGGATAATGGAGGGCTACTACACAGCCAACAGGACTAGGTCCACAGAAGATACTACAGGGATGTTCAGAGAAAAGAGGTTGAAGAGAGGAGGCAGGAAGGGGAAAACCATCAAAAAATGGAAGAAGAAAAAGAAGAGAAAAGAAAGAATAAGAATTAAGATATGGGGGCTGGGGATTTAGCTCAGCAGCATAAGCACCTGCCTTGCAAGTGTGTGGTCATGAGTTCGATCCCCAGTACCAAACAAAACAAAACAAAAGGAATGAACTGGGACCCAGCGAATGCAGCTCAGTGAGAGATGGCTTGCTTAGCATGCATGAGCCCTGTGTTCAATCCCAGCAACACAAAATAAAATTACAGAGAATGAGAAATGATGACCTCCATAGGAAGAATTTCACAGACATACTGTTAAGTAAGACAAAAAAGTTGAGCTTAAGGGGTACAACACAAGAGTAAATAATATTATGATTCTACTTTAGGAAGTCGGAAGAGATAGATCTATAGCATTGGAGGTTAAACTGGTAGTTACTTGGCGGTGATACAAGCTTATCAGCTAAAAGAAAAGTCTGTGGACATTTATGACTTAGACATGATATTCTGATTTACGTGTCAATTACATGGGCATATGCCTAACAATTAAATGGGGAAAGAGTATTACAGAGATGGTGACAGAGACAAAGTCCTTAGTATTTGTTATTTTTTATCTTTTTTTGAGACAGGGTCGCAAAATGTGTAGTTCAGGCTAGTCTTGAGCTCACTCTGAAGCCGTGGCTGGCCTCAAACTTATAGGCAACTCTCCTGCCTCAGCCTTCCAAGTGCTAGGTGTGTGCCACCATTTGTATACTTTACATATACGTTGTATTTCAACTTTTTTAAAAAATTGGGCTGATCTGTAACAGAAGTTAGTGACACAGGTATCAGAATTCTTTTTTTTTTTTTTTTTTTTTTTTTTTTGTCTTTTTGAGACAGGGTCTTGGTACGCAGTTCAGGCTGGCCTTGAGCTAACTTTGTAGCCAAGGCTGGTCTCAAACTCGCAACAATCCTCCTGCCTCAGCCTCCCGAGTGCTGGGATTACAGGCATGAACCACCACACCCGGCTAGGTATCAGAATTCCATTAGGCAGTAAGGGAAGCAGGCCCAACATAGAGTTGAGAAGCTCAAAATGAAGTCTGCTGAATCACAACCCTCCAGGGATCTTACAAAACCATCTGGCAGGTATCCTTGGGCTGTGGGACCTCCCCAGAGTACAATCAGCAGGCCACTGGCTTAAGGGCCCTTGGGCCCTGCAAGGGCACCGGACAGATTAGACCCTAGAAAGTATGCAGTCTTCCTAGGGCAGATAGCACACTGCTTACACAACGGCCCTGCCCCTTTCTAAGTCCCGTTGGCATCCACAAACAAGGAGGCCTGGGGAGTCCTTCTCAGAACCCTCTCCCAGCTGCTAGGAGCTTTATTTCCCCGCCTTTCTTTTACTTTTCTGCCTTCTGCCTTTTATTTTCTTGACCTCCTATCTTTTAAATAAATTCACTTGCACCCTCTCTATTCACAGTCTCATTCTTTGTCATTGTAGGACATGACTCCAGCATTCTGCTGACAGTACTCTATTGTAAAATAGTACAGTTGTGTGTGTGTATGTGTGCGTGTGCGTTCAGTGCTTGGAGGTGAACTTGGGCTCTTCACACAAACTTGTATCTCTAGCACTGTCTTTGTTACTTTTCTGTTGCTCGACAAAATATCTGATACCCATAAGTTAAAGGAAGAAAGGTTTATTGAGCTCACAGTTTGTAGAGGTTTCAATCTACAGTTGATAGGCTTCAAGGTAGGGCAGCATGCAGAGGGGAAGCAGTCTGTGGCAGAGCAGCAGGAGGTGGACCAAGCAGCAGCTCGCCCTGCATCTTTCCCTTTACTTTCCATCCAGGCTATGAACCTATTGGTTGGGGCCACTCACACGCAGGGTAGGCCTTTTATTATGTTATGTGTGTGTGTGTGTGTGTGTGTGTGTGGTACTGGGGATCACACTCATGCCAGGAAGTGGCATATGCCACTGAGTTATATCCCCGGCTCAGGCTTCTTATTATCTGCATGGAGAACTATGCTAAATCAATTTAGTTATCACACATCCTTAACCCCAGTACTACATAATCTAGATCCAGCCACCTGCAAAAAAGCAAAACCAAAAATCACCTATGAGCACATGAGGCCTTTGGGGGACAACTAGGTCCGAGCCATAACAAGCACTTTTTAAAACTTTGCTGAAATGAGGCCTTAGTCACTAGATCACCTGCCAGGTTTTACACAAAGTTAGTTTAACTCTGAGGTGGCCCTGCTGCCTGCTGCCTGCTGGTATTCCTGCCTTTTATGGAAGACCTTCCTGTTGAGTGTGACTTGCCCTATCCAACAGCACACAGCCAGTTGTGGGGTTCAAAGGGCTGTGAATGAGCTCTTGTTAGCAGACTCTCTTGCTCTCTCGGCTTGCCTGCTTTCACAAAGCAAGCTGCCCCTTAGGAGTGGCAAAGAAGTGACTGCGGTCTCCAGAATCCTGCCAGCATGAGACAGAAGCCCTTGTTCCAACGCAGTGAGGACATGAGCCTTACCAACAAGTACCAGTGTGAGATGGAGCCTTCTACAGCTGACCTTTCACTTCTGACACCAGCGATACAGCCTATGTGAGCCCCTGAAGACCACTGCTTGGATTCCTCACACAGCATCCCATCGAAACTGTTGTTTACTGTAATGAGGTGTACATTTATGAGAAATTGTTACACAGCAACCAATAAATACAATCAAGGGGTTAATCTTCCAAGTGTTAACAACATGAGAAGATCAGTGGTGGTGGACTGTGTCAACGTGAGTGGGAGGAGCTCAGCTAAACCTGCTCAGCACTTCCACATCCTAGGGTGCAGAAGACCCACCCTAGGGCGGCCCAGTGCCCAGACGGTGTACAGGGAAAATTAGAAGATGAATTTGCTTCTGTTTCTTCAGTGGAGCCCCAGTCTTCGACTTCACCATGAATGTCATCTCCTGGCTTCCAGCGCAGACTCTTTGGCTTCCGTGGCAGACCCATCAGCCTCCCGACACTGACACACACAGGACACAGCAGTGAGCTCCAGACCCTTGACTCGGTCCTTCTGTCTCCAGCGTGCAGACACCCTCTGCGCTATCCCTCATCGAACTTCGTGGGCGACCACCGCAAGCCAATCTTCTGAATTCTTATATATCCATGTGTCTTGTGTTGTCTGTTTCTCTAGTGAACACTGGCTGATACTGATTTTGGTACTGGGAGTGGGGCATGCAGAGATGTCTCCTCTAAGGACGTGGCTCTCCCTACAACCAAAAAAACAGGCACAATGCATAGTGGGCCTATTTGGAGTTTGGAGGCAACACATTCCTCACTCGTGTCTTTTTTTTAAGTGGGGCCCAGGACAAGGCTCTGCAACAGGTCCAGGCTGTTGTGTGGGCTGCTCTCCCACTGGGACCTTATGACCCAGCAGATCCAGTGGTATTTGAAGCATCAGGGGCAGGCAGAGATGCTGTTTAGAGTCTCCAGCAGAGGTGAATCGCAGCAGAGGCCTTTAGGATTTTGGAGCAAGGTTCTCCTATCATCTGCAGATGACTGCTCTCTCTTTGAAACACAGCTCTTGATTTGTTACTGGGCCTTAGAAGAAACTGAATGCTTGACAACGGGACACCAGGTCACCCTCACCATGGGTATTATCTGATCCACTGAGTCATAAGGCTGGATGCCCACAGCAACAGTCTAACACTAAATGGAAATGGTACACATGTGATTGGGCCAGGGCAGGTCCAGAGGGTATAATTACATGAAGAAGTTGCCCAGGTGCCCAGGGCTTCTGCTCCTACCATATTGTCTTCTGCTTCCCAGCATGCATCTGTGGGGTGTACCACATGATCAGCTGTCAGAAGAAGGGAAGGTTAGGGCCTAGTTTTCGGATGGTTCTGCACATTATGCAGGCATCACCTGTGAGGGGAGCTGCAGCATTACAGTCCAGAATGCCTTATCCACTGTCAAGCAATGCCACACAGCATTGCCTCTGCTGTAGTCAAGGTGTGCATGGGAAAAGGTATAACATGGGACACATAATTGATAGGATCATTTTATAATATTCACTCAAAGAGTCAAATGCAAGAGGGTGCAGAGATCTGTCCACACCCTACAGAATCCAGCTGTGGCCTAGAGCCCACAGGAATGTTCTGCACAAGACCAGCTAAAGACCTAGAGACCATGGCAATGCTCGCCATGAGTCTAGCTGGAGGCCTAGAGTTCCATGACAATGTCTCATACAAATCTGTATCAAGGATCTGCACCAGAAAGGCCCAAAGGTCAGTAGTAGAACCTAGAAGGTCTATGCCAGCAGGCTGAGAGTCTGCCCTGGAGCCAGGAAGTGATGCAATCAGGACCAGAGCTCCCCTGAAAAGAACCACAGCCATCCTCAGCGACAGTGAGGACCCAAGCTCCTATGATGATGAGAACAGCCGAGTTCATGTCAGGAAAGCCAGTGTGACAAACTTCTCCAGGACAATCAACAATGCACCATCTTCCCCTCTTGTTCTCCTTTTATGCTGTGGGCAAGATCCACAGCTCAGTTCAGCTGCATGTTACAAGATGAACATTAGTTAATCCACTCCAGCCTCTGAGCAAGGAACACATATTACGGTCAAAGAGGTGAAGTGATGGCCTCATGCTCACAGAAATCACTGGTATGACCAAGTCCCTTACCATGCAGAAGCGGCTGGTTGAATAGGAAGGAGACTGGTCTTTTGTAGACAGTTCCAGCACTAGCTAGGTGGCAAGAGCTTGTAGGGCTGGGCCAATGTTCTTCAACTCAGCCTCCACTCTATGGTACTGTGTCTCCTCTAGCCAGGATGCGCGGGTCCAGGAATCAAGGGGTGGAAGCAGGAACGGTACCACTCAACTTTACCCCTAGGGGTTCACTAGCAGATTCTCACTTCCTGTTCTTCTGACCTTATTTTCTTCTGGGTGAGAAGTCTTAGTTCAGAGAGGGGAAGGCTTGTACCGGAAGCAAAAGGATGTCATTGCAGTGGAAGCTACGACTTCCCCCTGGTCATTTTGGTTTCCCAATGCCTCTGAAGAAACAGGCTAAAAAAGGAAGTCGCAGTGTTGTCAGCAGTAATTGACTGAGATATCAAGGGGAAATCGGACCATCACTCCAGAACGGAGGACAGGAAGAGCATGGGTGCAGGGGACTACGTAGGGCGCTCCTAGCATTACAGTGCCCTGGTTTTCTTATTTGTTTTAATCTTTTAAAGCTTTTTGGGGCTGGGGATATAGCTCAGCAGCACAAATGCCTGTCTACCAAGAGCAAGGGCCTGAGTTCGAGCCCCAGTACCAAAACCCTTTTTTTTTTTTTTTTAAATTTTTGTTGGTAAACATGTTTGTAGTACATAACTAGGAAAGTGATTGATGGATTTAACGCAATCAGGTTACTCATTCCAAAAAGGAACATGGGCAATACGGGTCTTTATCAGGCACCTTCCCAGCCTCTGAGTGCTAAGAGGAAATGCTAGATGTCAAATACATCAAGTTCTTGTTCCCCGTGTCAGAGACTGAGTTCTAAAGAACAATGGAGGTTAAAAGTATGAAAATTTACTGGAGAAAACAATGGGAACAAAAACAGCCCCTGAGAGACAGGAGGGTCCCAAGTTGGTTGCCCCCCACTCCTTTTTTCTTTTTCTTTTTTTTTTTTTCTTTTTCCTTTTTATCGGTACCAGGGATCGAACTCACGACTGCCTGCTTGCAAGGCAGGTGCTTATGCCGCTGAGCTAAATCCCCAGCCCCTCCTTTTTTCTTTAAAACAGGGTCTCAGTATGTAGTGCAGGCTGGCCTTGAACTCACTATGTAGTTTGTAGCACAGGTTTTGGCCTTGAACTGGCAGTGATCCTCCTGCCTCAGCCTCCTCAGTGTTGGGATTATAGGCATGTGCCACACGTACGGCTACTGTGCCTTGCTACTAAAATCAATGGGAACCTACAACAATTTAATCCAGGCAGAATGACAAATGGCCCAGAGCCTTCAGGAATGAAGGTGTGGGTCATTCCATCAGGGAAAGAACCAAGACCTGCTGAGGTGCTCGCTGAGGGCCAAGGGAACACAGAGTGAGTAACAGAGGAAGGTAGTTCTAAACACCAGCTAAGACTTATGATTGGCTACAGAAGCAAAGATTGTAATGGCACTGTTTCTCTCTGTCCTATCAAAAACCTGCTTGATGCCACACCAGAGGAATGAAGACAGCATTTTCTGATTAGCTTCAAGTGCAGAGCTTGGAAGCCACTGTTTTGCGCTTGAGTCCAGCTCATTGCCCAGCCTGCTGGCCACACGCAGTCTTCTGCCTCACTAACCTCTATATGGCTCAGTATTTGGAGAAGGGTCCTCCAAGGACAAGGACGCAGAGAGTTACCTGACGTTGCCCTTATAAGAAGAGAGGAACAGGTTTACTCCTGTAATCTCAGCACTGCGGGAAGGCTGATGCAGGAGGACTGAAATTTTGAGCCCGGTCTGGGACACCTTGTCTCAAAATAAAAGATACGAAAAATGTGGCTCAGAGCCGAGCTGTTGGGTTCAGCCCCCAGCCCTAAGTGTGTGTGTGTGTGTGTGTGTGCACAGTGGATCAAGGACACTCACTTCCTGTTTTGGCTTAAGCCTGGAAAATGACCATGCAACATATTGAGAGGCAGAGACTGGAGAAAACAGCATGGTTTTGGGGCCAGTTGTTTTTTGTATTTTTGTTTTGTTTGAGACAAGGTCTCACTTTGTAATTCAGGCTATGTAACTCAGTATGTAATCCAGGTGGGCCTCAGACCCAAGGTTATCCTCCTGCCTCAGCCTCCTGAGCTCTGGGTTTACATGTGTGTATCACCATGCCTGGGTGGGGATAGTTCTAATACACATCCTATTGTGGTTGTTTCTTTCATACAAAAGTCAGGAAGCACATTCTTCAAAACCTAACCACTGACCATCTAAAAGGGGTTAAAAACCGGGTGTGGTGCCACACAGCTGTAATCCCACTTGTTGGGAGGCAGAGGTAGGATCACTGAATTCAAGGCCAGCTGGACTACATAGTTTAAGGCCAGCAACACAGCTATTCGTCTAAACAAAACAAAACAAAACAACCAGAATAAGTGTTCCCATAGGCTAAGCAGAGTTTTTCTTTTTTGTAGCCTCGGGAATCAGATCCAGGACTTTCCCTATGTTAGAGAAGCATCCACCATGAGCTACATCCCCTGCCCGAGGAGATTGGTTTTACAGATAGAAAAGGGATGGAGAAAAGAGAAACAAAGAACAAAAGCAGTTTGATCATTTCAAAAAGACCTTCCTTACAACAACACGCCAGGCTAGGGTACACAGAAAAACAGAAAAGCAGCTGATTGCGTTTGCTTTGTAAGGACTGAAGCACAGGCACCATCATTAGCATGGTGACTCCCTCGGGCTTGATTGGGAAATCTGACCAGTGTTCCTCCTGATTTCCAGGAAGGTCGGAGGATTTCGGCTCTTCTGGTGGAACGGCAGCATGACATCAGTTCTCAGGCTGAGCTGTGGGGGCTGATGGCAGGGTCTCCGTCTAACACAGTGAACTGCAACTTTTATTTAATGAAGAATTTGATGAAAGCCCAGTTCATGCTTAAGAGTATAACACACATTAGATCAAAACGCTTAGACTGTTTCTCCTTTAGCAACTCATAGGTCTGTGAATCTGTGTGTGTGTGTGTGTGTGTGTGTGTATGTTTTGAAACAGGGTCTCAGTACATTGCCCAGCCTAGCTCTGAACTCATACACTTCCTGGCTTGTGCCTCAAGAATGCTGGAATTACAGGTATACACATCTGCACCCTGAGTCTCTGGTCTTTTGTTACATTTTTAAAGCACTGTATTGGGCAAGTGGGCCAGGGTGTGGCGGTGTGCTCCTGGAATCCTAGCTACTTGGGGGCTGAGTCAAGAGGATTACAAATTCAAGGCAATTTAGCAAGATCTTGTTTCATAATAAAGATTAAAAATGAAAAAGAGTAAAAGAACTGGAGATGTAGCTCAATGTGAAGACCCTGGGTTCACTGGAGAAAAAAAAGAAAACCTTCCAGCTCCCAGTATCTCCAGCTGTTGCTTCTTACATGATGCTGAGCCAGCTAAGTAGGGTTCACAAGCACACCAGGAAACGGAGTTAAAAGTGCACCAGCCTTATGCCTGTAATCCCAGCATTTGGGAGGCTGAGGCAGGAGGACTGCTGTGAGTTTGAGGTCAGCCTTGGCTACAAAGTGAATTCAAGGTGGGCCTGAAGAAGTGCACCAGCCTGACAGGCGATGGCCTTCCCGTAACACAGCAGAGGAGGAGGGTGGGAAATCAGTCAGCCTTCACGGACAATGAGGTCCACAGCAATGCCTGCAAGGCAGAGCCAGAACACCCAGATCATTCAAAACAGATCCTCTCAGGCAGGGGAGTGATCTGCCTGTTCCAAGTGGTAAGGGACAAATGCATGGGAACGATGGTCACTGTGGTTATCTGTACTTCCACATAGTTAAGAGTCTCTGGCACAGCAGCGGAGTAACAGCCCTTTTATATGGTATGGCTCTTACAGTTAGGGTCCGTCACCTTTAATTTTCTTTTTTCCTTTGTGGTTTCGAGACAAGCTCTCACTCTCTTTCCCATGTACTGGCCTTAGAGGCCAGTAATTCCATAGCTGGCTTACTTTTTTTTTTTTTTTTTAACTTTATTTGTGTAAAAATCACACTGACCTGGTCGAGACTCAAAATGGTAATGAGTTGGGCATAGTGGCCGTGTAACCGCAGGATTTGGTGAGGGTAAAGCAGGACAATCTCAAATTCAAACCCAGCACAGGAAATTTAGAGTCCTGTCTCAAAAACAGAAATCAAAGGCCAGGTATGGTGGCACATGCCACAGTTCCTTCAATCAGGAGGGTGGGGCAGGACGGCCACCAAGAGTGAACTGCATAGTGAAACCCTGTCTCAAAAAGACAAAATTAAATAAAGTTTTAAAAGCAAAAAAGGCTGGGGATATAACTCAGTAGGAGATTCTGGGTTTAATGTACAGTATCACAAAACAAAAAAAGACATTAAAATAAAAAAGGGCCGGGGATGTAGCTCAGTGTAATGCCTTGAGGTCTAACCCCTAGCACTGGGGGGGAAAAAAACTACTAATGAGATGCATGTGACAAAGAAAAAAAGAAGGCTATGTGCTGCAGAGACAGAGGAGGAAGAGTTCCACACAGTGGGACTCCATCTCTAGGGGGGACTTCAGGAGCAGTCAGTCCCTGCCCTGAAAGGTGAGCCTGGGATTTCTGTCCTCTGCAGGCTTTTCACTTCCTCCCAAGCCTAAGCATAAGAGCCTTTCTCCTGCACCAAGCTGCTTCTGATTCTTTTGAATCCACAGTCGGTCACAATCCCAAAACACAAGGTGGGGAGTTTCCCAGCATGAACAGGTGTCCCCCTGCCCAGCACTTCTGGACTGGGGACTGGACCAGGCCCTCACATTTTCTGTAAGTGTGCTACCACTGAGCTATACCCCCCCCCCCCGGCCCTCCAAAATATTTTTGTGAATTTTGCTCAGTTTGCCATGTACTGTGGCCCTTGTGAACGAACGAGTTCTGGATTATAAATCCTCCCACTATTTATAACACTGTCCTGGGGAAAATGCTGTCTGAATGCTACAGAAAGTCACCAGTAGTATAGTGAGTTTGAAAACAGCCTGAGCTACACAGCAAGACCCTGTCTCAAACAAACAAACAAACAAACAGACAGACACCAGTAGAACCAGGCATGGTGGTATATGCCTGCAGTCCTAACACTGGAGGCTGAGATAGGAGGATCACAAGTTGGGCTCAGCCTGGGCAATTTAGCAACTTAGTGAGACTCTGTCTCAAAAATTGGAAAAAATGGCTGGGGATTTAGTTCAGTAGCTTAAGTGGCTAAAACGCCTGCCTGGCAAGTGCAAGGTTGTGAGTTTGATCCCTGGTACAAAAAAAAAAAAAAAAAAAATTGCATTTAAACTGGGCATGGTGACACATGCCTGTAATCCCAGTACTCAGGACACCGAGGCAGGATCACTGTGAGTTTGAGACCAGCCTGAGCTACCAAGTGAGCTCAAGGTGGCCTGAACTACAGAGACCGAGTCTCAAACTACAAAAAAAAGAAAGGGTAGGGAGGGCGGCTGGGGATGTAGCTCAGTGCAAAGCCCCTGGGTTCAATACTCAGTAGTGAAATCAATATAAATAAATAAAAATAGGTAACATCTTCCCCTTTTCAGCTGCCAGGAGAAGGAACAGGTCCCTGCCAGAGAGGTGGTCCTAAGGGAGGGAGCCAGGCAACAGCTGGAAGGAGGCGTGGGCAGGGCTGGGGACCACGTGGCCAGGCAGGGTGAGGGTTTGGAAATGTCCATGCTAATTGGCCTTGTCTCACTCTTCCCCTGGCAAAGGTTTTATCTTTAGTTGAGTCCTATACCTGGCTCCTTACTCATTTGCAAAATCTGAGTTGGAGTTGGGGGTGGGTGCCTGTGAGGCCCTTGCAGAGCTCACCCCCGAGTCCCGCAGACCAGACGAGTCTCGCTCGCTTGTGGAGTTCATCATCTCTTATTTTCAGTCCTGACCTCGAAGCAGGTAGACACTCAGTGAATGAAGGCTCTGGCCTGCCTCTCCGGAGCTTCTGGGCTTGCTTCCACCGCTGCATCTCCAGCAACATTCCTTGCTGTCTGGTCACTTCAAAGTTCTTTCTCCACGTAAACATCAACTAATCAACTACTCACCTTTTTTTTTTTCTCTTCCTATTATTCCTTCACTTGGAATGCCCCTGTCCTCCTCTGTCCACTTCCCAATTCCTCACTTTTCTACCAAGTATTTCTAAAGTCACTGCTTTCTGTGTTTTTCTGAGGGGAGAGGAACAAGGTCTATGTAGTTCAGACTGGCCTTGAACCCCCTGTGCATTCCCAGGCCTACTTCAAATTCGTGATCCTCCTGCTTCAGCTTCCTGAAATGCTATGATTTCAGGCCTCTGCCACCATGCCTGGTTCCAAAGTTATCTCTTGTGGGAACCCTACCTTTACGCCTTCTCCAAGTATATTAAGTATATGTAGTTTCTTAGGAATGTCTTCAGAAAGTAATGTGGTACTGGGGGTGTCCTAGGTACTAAATATTTTTCCATTTTGCTATCTAGCATGTGTTCTCTTTCTCATCCTATGGAAGTGTGAAAAAAATTTGTTTGGGATAACTATAAACAAAATCATGGTGGTACATGCCTATAATCTCAGTACTCAGGAGGCTGAGACAGGAGGATCACCATAAATTCCACACTAGCCTAGACTACATAGTGTTTAACACCAGCCTGAACTACACAGCAAGATCCTCTCAAAAAAATAAAACCCCAACCAACAAACCTCCCCTTCCCAGCAAAACCAAAGCCTTAGAAGTTTGATGCTTATCCCTCTATCTGCCCCCAAGGTCCTGCCACATTGCCCAAACTGGCCTTAAACCTGAGATCTCTATGTGAAAGCCTCTTGAGCAGCTGAGATTACAGGTATTGTCACTATGCCCATCTCTTCTTTTTGGCTCCTTTCTGGGATGTCTGGCAGAGCACAGCATGAGTTTGTTTTCCTTTTCTTTAATTCATAAAGAACATCTTCTGCACACATCTTTAATGAGCAGCTTTCAAGGACCACAGCCTTACTACATTACTGATATCTCTAGATCGTATATCTTCAATTTATTTATTATTTTTTTGTACTGGGGGTTGAATGTAGGGCCTTTGTACTGTGCTACATCCACAGATATTTTATTGTTTGTGGCAGGGTTACCCGAGCATTTTCATATACATATATATATATATATATATATATACTTATATACTTTAAATATACTTTAAAAAAAAAAAAGAAAGAAAATTTTGGGCTTTAGTTAAAGTAACTTTCCCCTAGTTGACGACTTCTCCTCCCCCATTTAGTGGTGTGACAGCTTGGAATGTAGAACGTGATGTAGTTTTACAAGTTAGTAAATTTTGCTGGGGGCAAAGGAGGGAACTTAATTCCCGGTTTGACCCAAGTGATAAATTAAGAAACACTGCCTGGAGGGTAATTTATGGCCCAAACAGCCTTTGCTAAAATACTAGTGGTTACCGATGGCTTCTTTAAGGGTCCCAATGCACTGTTTGTTAAAAATAAAATTAGCTCATGTTCTAGAATTCGCTGTTAGCCGGGCATGGTGGCACACGTCTGTAATTCCAGCACTCGGGAGCCTGAGACAGAAGAAACGTTGCAAATTTGAGACCAGCCTCGGCTACAAAGTGAGCTGAAGGTCAGCCTGAAATTGCATAGCGAGACTCTGTCTCAAAAAGACAAAAAACTTGAATTCGTAGTCTCTGCAGTCCTACCCTACAAATGTATTCACCCAACGAATACTTGTGCGGAGCCCGCGTAAACGCATCATGACTGCACCCGGACCAGGTGGAGGGAAAGGGGGTCCCTCCCATCCACCCAGGCCGGCAGCCTTGCTACCCCCGGTACCAGGTTCTGCTCCGGGAAACCCCCTCACTTCCAGTGTGCGTGTCCACTGCCGACGCCGCAGGCGCCACTCCCACTTCCAGGGAAGCACGTGCGGGCCGAAAGATTTAGGACCCCAGGCACCGATCCGCCCGGAAGGGGGACAGCACGTGGTGCACGCGTGGGGACAGCGGCCCTGCGAGCGGCGCCGAGGGAGGCGAGAAAGGCGGGTCCTCCAAAGCGCCGGAAGCAGTCCCCCGCGGGGTCTGGAACCTGTCCGGGCTGCACCTCCTCCCACAGGTCGCGAGAACGTACCCGCCCGAAGAACAACCAGCGTGCCACCTGAAGCCTTCCAGATGCCCCCACTCATCACCAGACACCTCGAGTGGAAGTGTGAAACGAATCCAGTTGATATTGCAGGCCCGCCGCCACCTCCGGAACTACGTTTCCCGTGAAGCCCTGCGGCGCCGAGTGGCTGATGCGCAGGCGCGCGCACAGCGTGCGTGGTGACGTCAGCGGTTCTAGAACGTTGCTGTGGTAGCGCACGGGCGCCATGTTAGGACGAAGGGGAAGGAGGAGAAGCGCTTAAAGCGGCGGGAGCGGGCGCGGGAGTGGGGTTGGACCCACGGCTGAGGCAGGCTCCCCCTCCCTCCCGCCTCAGTGGATCATGCCCAGGGCGGCAGCGGCGGCGGCAGCGGTTGCGGGGGGGAAGTGATTAGGCGGTGCCGGCGCCGGAGACGATGCCGTTGTGAGTGATTTGTGTTCTGTTTTCTCTCGCACGCCGGCTGGGCCTTGGGGGGGCGTCGGGGGAGGGGGAGGGGTGGCGCGCGAGCGGGGCGCTCGCCGATGGGGCGGCGGGCGGGACGGCGGCCCTTCAGACCTCTCTGCGTCGGTGCTCGCGTCCCTCACCCTTTCCTGGCCGGTCGGCAGCCGTCGGGCCGGGGGCTTCCCCTTCCGGAAGGGCTCGGCATCCTCCAGCGCGGTTACTCCCGCGTCTCCGGCTGGTGGGAAAGCAAAACACAAAAGCCAGAGTACCCCGAGGCTAAGCAGAACCCGGCGGCGAGGACGCAGGCCCAGCGCCTCGTGGGTTCCGCACCGGGCTGGCGCTCGCCCGCCCGCCTCAGGGCCCGGCGCGGGGCTCCCCCGCGGTCTGTGTCCTGCCGGTTTTCGGGATGCTCCTGTCGTGTGCGGAGCCTCCCCACTTCCGCTTCCCTAGCCGAATGGGCTTCAGCACCAGTAGGCAGCCCAGTTTTGAGTCTTGAGTCTGGTTCGTTGGGTTCCGCCTCGGCCCCCGTCGACCGCAGCCCTCCCCGGGGTCCCTCCTCGGAAAGGAGTCACGTTAGGTGTCGCGCTCCGTGTCTGGCTTTGATGGGGTGGCCGGGTTTCATTCCGCGTCCTTCTCTATCTCTAGTGTGTTTTGTGGACTAATGCTGGCTAAGCCCGACAGGTCGGCGTCATACACTCTTACCATTAGGAGGACTTTTGAAGAGTTTGCTTCTCTCTCTCCCATCTGTAAGAATGAGATGTTACTTTGAGAACTCAGTGGTAGGATCAAAAAATTGGTTACAGCTTTTAGCTACCTTAAATTCTGCAGTGTGGAGGCCTAAACTGGGAGACTGCATTTCTTTCATCTTTGAAAATTGAAATGTGACAGTTCCCTTTTCCGAAAAGCACCGAGGTTTTGTTTCCCCCAATCTTTGTAGTCGTAAAAGGAAGCATTATTACCAATACTTTTGGTTGAACGCAAGATGGTTTTATGATTTATAGATAACTAATTTAGTAAACTGTCAAGAAGTCTATGCTTTTAAAGTTTCTTTCTTGCAAATATAACTGATAATAATATGACATATTTGTATGTTTCCTCACAGATGAGACTTTTGACATGAGTCTAATGATGTATGTCAAGTTTTGTATAATTAAAAATGGGTTTCGTGATTTAATCCTTTCTCATACCTTAGCTCGCTCACTCATCCCAGACATTTTGTTTACAAGCCTGCCAGTTTATTATTTGTGTAATGAAAACTTTTCTTAGCTTAATTAGTTGCCGTATAGAGGGAGGTTTAAAATCTGCAGGGTTGATTTATCCAATCATGGAATGGTGGAAAGAAGCACTAGGAGAACAAATCTAAAGACTTTGTGGTATTTTCAGTAGTAATTCAAATAAACCTACGTGTTTAGGAGTGGGGTTACATAGTTCAGCAGTAGACCGTTTGCCAGGTGCGTTGAGACCCTGGTTCAAAGCCCACTGCTCCCATCTTTGTTCAGTTTAAATATTTGATTAAAGTAATGACATGTGATGACTTTGTCTTGATTCACTTTAGGGGTAAGTGGCTTTTTGACACAGGGTCTCAATATGTAGCCCAGGCTGGCCTTGAACCTGTACAGCCATCCTCATACCTCAGTCTCCCAAGTGCTTGCACCACCGTGCTGTCTTCACTCACTTTATTCCCGTTTTTGTAAAGAGATTTCTTATAATCATGTCAGCGTTAAAAATGACAGGAAATGAACATTGTAAAGAAAAGCTGAGCCAGGTGAGGTGGCCCACGTCCGCAGTCCCAGCATTTTGGAGACTGACTGAGACAGGAGAATCACCGTGAGCTCTGGCCAGCCAGAACTACAGTGAGACTGTGTCTCAAGAAGACAGAAAAACCACGATGGAAAAGGAAGAAAAGGCTTTAGTGAGGAAGTAATATTAAAAATTCTTACTTTTTTTTTTATGGAACTAAAAGTATTCTTAAACCAGTTTTTTTCCAACTTTGGGGAGAAAGGTATAAATTTCCATTATATTTACCAATACACGTACTAAAGTTGAACTGATATAGAGAAGATGGGCATGGTCCTCACACTTTCATTACAGAGAATGCTTCAGATTCCTTGGGAGTTAGTTCAGAGGTATACAATGGAAGAGTGATAGATTCCCACAGAGATACCACCTTTCCTATGTATTTATTGAGGTTTTTACTGTGTAGCCAGTTTTCCATTAATTCTGTCTCCCCTTTCTAACCATAAATATACTGTAAGGTTTTAAAATAGTAGAAAAGTTAGACTGATGAAGAACATTGGTTGTCTTCCTCATTAATTTGCTTCTCTTTAAATTCTTTTCCTGGGATCCTTTGGGTTGAACTCACTCAGAATGTTAAGCACAGGCTTGACCACTGCACAGCATCTGAGCTCACTTTCTTTGTCTTTCATGTTTTGATGTCATCTTGTCATGAAGTTTGTTTCTTTGATATGAACGTTGAATTGTGATTTACTTTTTCTTTTTATTTAATACTTTGTGTGCCAGAGATTGAGTCCAGGGCCTTGCAAGTGTTCTACCGGAATTACAGCTCCAGCACATTTCCTAGCCATGTGTACTTCTAGTTTTGCTGTGTCAAATTTGGATGAGTGAGATTGGGTAGTGGATCTTGTATGAGAGTGGATTAAGTCATTGCAAAACATTGTGATCAAGTGTCTATATATTTTCTTTAAATACATGATTTGGGTGATAGCAGTTTTCAAAGTACAAACTTTCGAAGTTTGAAAGTTTCATGGTGGTGAAACTTTGAAAAGTTTTGATAGTCTGAGTATCCGTTAATATCCTTACCTAAATAAATACTGTTGATATTTAGGCCAGCTAAATGCTTTCAGGGTGCTGTCCCATATTCAGAGGGGTGTTTAACAGATCCCCATACTGTGTTACTAGATTCTGGGAACCTCCCATGTCATTTCCAGATTTTCCAGGCATATCCCATGTTACAAAATCTTTTGGTTGAGAATCAGTGCATTAAGACAAAATATGGAAATTACATTGTATTCCTGCCCAGCTCTGTGTTGGTCAGATCATTATTTGCATTAGTTCAGTTCTGGCTATTACACTTAAGATTATAAAGGAGAATAACCAGTATCAGTGACTTAGCATTTGTGCTGTCCGTATTCGGATAATATTGTTGAAGTTAGTGGAAGAGATATTTAAGAAGACTTACAGGAGTCCAGTAGCTTTCCTCCCAAATACTTGTGAAGACTATTGGAAGAGAGGGGATTTTTGTTGGTGATAGTCATAAAAGGTGGAACTGGGAACTCCTGGTTGATGATAATGCTAAGTAATAATGGTTCTCACAATGAGATCTGTGGATCTTTGAGGAGAAAAAGAGTTGTCATTGGTATCGATTCATTCATTTTATGTTTTGAGGCAGGGTCTTCCTAGGCTGGCCTTGAGAACTCATTAAGTACCTCCAGGCTGGTTTAGAACTCACAAATCCTTCTGCCTTAGCTTCCCCTAATGCAGGGATTATAAGCTTGAGCCACCACTTCAGGTTGATAGTTGTCTTATTGAGTCTGGCTTATTTTAATATGATGATCTTCAGTTCCATCCATTTTTCTACAAACAACATTTTGTTCGGAATAATACTCAATTCCATACACACACACACACACACACACACACACACCACATTTTACGCATTCATCTGTTGATTGCATCTAGGCGGATTCCAGAGTTTGGAGAATTTGTCAGATTGTAAGCTTTGGAGATTTTGTAGTGAATTGCAGGAAGCTTAGTAAATGGCATCTGTGTTTGGAATGTTGTGTTTCAAGCATGATTTCAGTTCATACCTTTTTTTTCTTCCCTTTAGCACTGGAAGTTTGAACTCAGAACCTTTACACTGAGCTGCATCTTCAACCTTTTAAAAATTTTAGACAAGGTCTCATTAAGTTGTCCTGGCTGGTCTTGAACTTGTAGTCCTCCTGGCTTGGTGGGGGTTTTTGGCTTTTTGAGACAGGGTCTCTCTGTGCAGTTCAGGATGGCCTTGAGCTCACTTTGTAGCCTAGACTGGTCTCGAACTTGCAATGATCCTCCTGTCTCTCAGCCTTCCAAGTGCTGGTATTACAGGCGTGAGCCACCACGCCTGGCTCCAGTTTGGTTTTGAAAGTGCTGTACCACCACACTTGGCTGACTGTTCATGCATGATTTTTTTTTTATATAGAATTTGAGAGAGGAGATGGTAAAATAGCAGAATTGTGTATATGAGCCTATTTTAAGTCCTATTTCCTGATCTCTGGGAACCCCTTGCTGCCCAGTTTGATAATTTAAAATGTTTTGACTTATTAAACATTCTGTTTTTTCTAACTAAGGCAACTTTAAGTTAACATTTCAGTTAAATTTTATCTTCATTTGCATTTAGGCGAGTTTATAAAAATTAGTGATGAAATGAGGCCATTAGATTTTCAGTTATTTTTCACTTCTTATGTCTTACTCTGTACATTCACTGTTTTTTAAATAATTGGACAGTCTGAGCTTATGGGTTACAGTGAAGCAAATCACAGGAGGTATTGGCTGTCTTTCAAACTGGTTAACTTCAGGTTCCAAGTAGCCCCTTGACCAAGGTTTTAAAGGTGTCCTACATCAGTGCTTAAATTAGCTCTTGATTGTGT